AAGCTGCCATTCCAGCTGCTGTTAGAAGGCTGGCTCCCTCCCTGCCCGAGAGCAATTTCACTTCAAAGGCCCTCCAAGTCCTTGAAAGCAGGGTTTTTTTTTTTTTTTTTTTTAAGCATGTTGGGGAGAAACAGATGATGCCCTCTATTTGAGATCAATACAGTAATTATGTTGGACAAGCTCTTAGGGCTAACTTCAGGGGGAATTCACAGCCTCATGAATGAGGAGTGTGAAAGCACACAGAATGAGAGGGACCAGCGCTTGTGGGATGTAGCCCATTCCTCAGTAGGATCCCCTTCTGCAGCAACCTTGGTCTGGCCTCTGCTGGATAAGACACAGCAGAGACTCAATCCATTACAAGCTGGTGCAAGTCCCAATTCTAATGTCAAACTAGGTCAAGCACGGTGGCTCACAGCTGTAATCCCTGCACTTTGGGAGGGAGAGGTGGGTAGATCACTTGAGCTCAGGAGTTCGAGACCAGCCTGGCCAACATGGTGAAACCTGGTCTCTTTGGGAGGCTGAGGCACAAGAATCGCTTGAACCCAGGAGGCGGAGGTTGCAGTGAGCCAAGATTGTGCCACTGCACTGAAGCCTGGTGACAGAACAAGACTCAACCTCTAAAATAAAAGGCAAATCAATGTCACTTTGAAGAGGTCATACAACTGGCAAGCCACAATGAATTCTGCAACCTCCTCTTTCCTAAAATCTAGTGAGGCTCAAAGAGATCAGATCCTTAAACCTCACCATATGCAGAAATCTCACATGGTTTATTTGATAAGAACTGGTTCTATCATTTGTTGGGGGAGGGGAGACATAAGAAATATCCGTTTCATGTACTCTACCCTTGAATGGTATTATTCATTAAGTATCACCAGGTAAATAAATAATGAAAAACCACAATTCTCAGACCAGGAAGTGACCTCTGAGTGCCAGCCACAGGACTCCGCATGGCTTTGCTTCCAGTGCCCGCAGAGCCCTGCCTCATAGGCTCGAGACATCTGTTCCTGATGTTCTTGGCAATGACAATCAAAACAACTGAAGCTGCCCCTTTGGGGCAGAAACTGCCCATCACCAAGACATAAATCTTCAACATGCATTCTAAGCGTGTTTGAAATACCTTTCAACATGACCCTGCGAATAACACCAAACTGATAAGCATTGGCTTCATTACCCTTATGGGCCAGGAGGAAAGATCTAATAACAGGATGCTCAAACACCTGGCTAGTCATCATTTTAGCTGGAAGGGCTTGAAGTAAAAGGTAGTTTCTAAAGTTCTCTCAGAGAAGACGCTCCAGATAGCTTGGCTAGGTAGTTAGTTAACAAGACCTGTTTTTGAAGACTTGCAAGAGATTTCCACAGCATTTCCTCAGAAAGGCTAGTTTTTCCAAAAACAAAGAATACAAAGCCTTTTGTTTGTTTGTTTTTTGAGATGGAGTTTCACTCTTGTCACCCAGGCTGGAGTGCAATGGCGCAATCTCGGCTCACCGCAACCTCCGTCTCCTGGGTTCGAGCAATTCTCCTGCCTCGGCCTCCCAAGTAGCTGGGACTACAGGGGTGCACCACCATGCCCAGCTAATTTTTGTATTTTTAGTAGAGACGGGGTTTCACCATGTTGACCAGGATGGTCTCGATCTCTTGACCTCGTGACCCACCCATCTCAGCCTCCCAAAGTGCTGGGATTATAGGCGTAAGCCACTGCGCCCAGCCCAATACAAAGCCTTTTACCTTAACAGTATTTATTATTGCTTAATCCTCTGAATGTAGTAAACAAAAATTGCAAATACTGCCATTTTTAGAGATGAAAAAACTAAGGTAAAGCAAGATTAAGTAACTTTTCTTAGTTACAAGGTCAATGGTGAAATTATCTGTAACACAGGTGGTCCGAATTCTATAGCTTCACACTTTCAACACTTGCCTATGTTTATGTGTTATCTGGATAGCCGGCAGACTCCTGAGCCCAATGAACGGCCATAACGGAAAAAAACCATCAAGGTTTAGGATATATGGGATGCAGAAGTGGTTCTCTGTCTTCCAACAAGACTGTCTACCTGCCACACAGGACCTAACACAGAAATGTTGCTCAGGGTAGCCAATGAAGCGCTACCTGCCATTTTACCAATGTTCATAATTTATACTTTTTTTTTTGGGGGGGGGGGGATGGAGTTTCGCTCTCGTTACCCAGGCTGGAGTGCAATGGCGCGATCTCGGCTCACCGAAACCTCCGCCTCCTGGGTTCAGGCAATTCTCCTGCCTCAACCTCCTGAGTAGCTGGGATTACAGGCGCGCACCACCATGCCCAGCTAATTTTTTATATTTTTAGTAGAGACGGGGTTTCACCATGTTGACCAGGATGGTCTTGATCTCTTGACCTCGTGATCCACCCTCCTTGGCCTCCCAAAGTGCTGGGATTACAGGCTTGAGCCACCGCGCCCGGCCCATAATTTATACTTTAATGAAAAACAGAGGGTTCCCATCATGTTGATAATCAAATCCCCAGCCAGTATTTCTGCCCAAAGAATGTCTAGATGGGTGGATGGGCAGGGGGTTAGTGATGCCAGCTTTCAGAATTATTAATGTTGCTGTTGACAAAACCCTGTACCCTGGGGTGGGGTCGGGAGTATGGGGTGTTACCATAGATGTGAAAAAAAATTTTTTTTTTTTTGGTGACAGGGTCTCACTCTGTTGCCCAAGCTGAAGGCAGTGGTGTGATCACAGCTCACCACAACCTCGAACTCCTGGGGTCAAGCAATTCTCCTGCCTCAGCCTCCTGAGTAGCTGGGATTACCAACATACCTGGCTAATTTTGGGGGGTTGTTTTTGTAGAGATGAAGTCTCATTATGTTGCTAAGGCTGGGAAAATCTTCTTAAAATGAAAAAATGCTGCCTTTTTGTCTGCATGCACTCTGTTCGCAGACCCCTGTAACACTGAATAAGCTGAGGACTGAAATGCCCCAGAGAAAGGATGTGATTCTGTAACAGGAAAGACAGGCTTTCCTGCTCACTTCACTTCAGCAGTTTGTTTAGTCAGAGATAAATCATCCCTTGGGTTTTTACAACAGGTCATTCAACCTGAGCGTTAGATTCCAATATTAACCAGAGTCTGATGGACAGATAGATCTACGACCACATGGACCAACCAAAAGGACATTTAAAATAACCGAAAAATTCACTCTGGATTATGATTCCACTGAAGTAAAGGGACACTCATATCTTTTTAATTTGGCAGGAAAGTAATTCTAAACAATAAAGTTCATAAATACACAGAAAGATACTTATTCCCCCAGGGAATGAAGACATCCAAACGCAACCTGTACTTCAGTTAATGGCAACAATCTGTACTAGTGTCGTATGTTGTATACATTAGTTTGAGATCAAAGAATGGTCAGAAATATAAAGAGGAAAAGACTCAAGCTTCATAATACAGTACCTCATACAGGAGACTGATCTAACATAAAAAAGTACACATGCATGGCATTAGAACCCCAACAGAAGGAGTCTCTGCACTTTTCACAGTCCAGAAGGCAAACAGACTCCATCTATTTGTAATTACAGATGAAATGAGAATTGGGCTTCAGGTTATACCTTTACCCTGTACAAAGTGAGAAGGGTGACAGTGCAAAGCCATTTAATACAAGCATATGCTTCTTAGCAACGCTGCCTACTATGGGTGGGAGAGGCCCAAGCCCAGGGTTTCTAAGAGCACGGGAGTGGCCTGTGGATGCAGACTCTGATTCAGCGGGTCTAAGGCCTGAGCTCCTGCCTTTGTAATAAGGCTTCATAGTGTCGCTGGAGCTGCTGGGCGGCAGACACTTTGAGCAGTGTTGACAGAACAAGGCAAGTTGTCAGAGCAGGAGTTAGACGACCCTGAGCCGAGGGCAGACTCCTGCAGCCTCACCCCTGGGCAGAGATAATAAATAAACCAATACCAAAGTAGGTACTGGCCTGAAAGATTTACAAAAGGCTGTTATTTTGTACCACTGCAGGAGGAAAAAATGCCCAAGTAATAAATTTTAAAACTGTTATCAACCGCAAATTGGGGAAAATGTTACCAGATTTCTGGGGGCTACTAACATTTTTATGTCAACCCCCTAAAAGCAGCTTCTCTGTAAGGAAAAGGAAGCAGCTTTATCAAGCATTGTGCAAACTTTTACAGAAGTCTTTACCTTGGGAAAGACTAAGTTTGTATTACTACTTTTAGGCTCCTGCATTCATTTCTTTGGAGCTAATAAAACAATGAGATCTAAAAATCAGGATCCGTCAGCTCAACTTCAAGTCCTTTCCCTGTGTCAATGCAAAGGCCAGAAGAGATGGTCCCTTAGTGCCGCTCCTAGGACGGTTTCTGAGGGGGCTGTGTGCCGCTCTAACCTTCCCCCACAGGCTCATTACAGACCCCCTGCCTCCTCAGGGGGCACAGACTGAATACATTAGAAACACGGAGGGGAAACACAAACACGAAGTTAGAATCTTACCAAGCAGCCATAATTACACTGATAAAAGGAGCTATTCAAAAGGGATGCTGCCAAGGTTACCGAGTCTAAAATCAAAATCTGCCTCCCCATCCATTATCTGAGTTTGAATTTTCATGAAAGGGGGGAAAAGGCTTGCACAAACCCAAGGCCAAGCAAAGTGTTAACAAGAGAGATGCCTAAGCTAGCATCTCAGCCACAGACATGTACATACCTACTCAACAGAGGGAACTTTGTTTTTGAGGAAAAACTCCCTTATTAAGTTCAATTTTTAAAAATCCTTCAATATTCTTAAGAATATTGCTTCAGTTAGGTGTTAAGAACAATAATCCTGAGTTGGATGAACAGCACATCCCATCCATATATTATTTTCCTTTTAAATACAATGATCTGAAAGATCCTCTCAGGGTATTTTGGAAGAATGCTTTCAAAAAGGGAACTGAGGTCCAAGAAACAGTGACATGGAGGATAGGAGGAAGAAATATTATAGAAACCTTGTGTTTTCCGAATGTACTTCAGTCTGATTTACTCTTCTGATAGGTAGATTTTTTTTTTTTTCAAACGTGCCAGGTACATTTCCCACTTTTGAATAACAGCAAAACCGGAGGAAGATGCTTTCACATGTAATAAATGTTCTCCATCCTTTCTGAAATGCACCAAAGCAAAAGCCTCTGAAGTCAAAAACTGAGACATAATTCCTTGCTCATTGCAGGAGACAGCAGGTGCCCCCTCCTGTACCCAACACCAAGAGACAGACGGCTGGGCAGGTGTAAGGCGGGTGGCGCTGCAGCGGACATGCAGGAGTCTAAATCTGAAGACACTTTTCCACACCTAGGACAAGTTCTTCACTTTCATGCTTTATTGAAAGTAGAATATGAATCAAAGACAGGCATCGGTAAGCAGGTTATGTCTCTAAAATTACTTTTCGTTCAGAGCAGAATGTTGTCCCATCTACTGTGATACAATCCTTTATGGACCAACGCATCTGGTATGAAACTCAAGCAAGGAAATATAACAGAACTTTATTCCCTCCCGCGGCTATAAATCTGGTATGTAAACATGATTTACTGTTACTGCTACTAAACTTGTTCTCTCTTTACTTGCCCCCTCCCACCCACCACCCCCCTTAAATATAAAATTGGAAACATTTCCTTCAAGTCTGATGTCCGTCAGTGCAATCTGCTTTATTTGACATAAGGCATTTGGGACAGTCACTTTTGAATGGATCTGCCTTTTGGAAGGGACATGTAATGGTTTAATTCTTAAATCCACCTTTGTTTAATGCCCTAACATGTCAAACTCCTCTTCCCCTCTGGTCATTTCTTAGCAGTCAGCAAGTATTCAAAGATTAATGTCCAAGAAGACCAGTACCTGGGAAAAGAAACACACGTGGAAGGATAGTTGTGAACTACAGATTAAAAGTTCACTGATTCCATTTACCAAGAACATATCATCAAAGGGAACATCCGACTTAATAAATGAACACAGCAGCAGCTTTGTGTTGGAGGATAAGAAAAAATATCAGCAGACTCCAGGCTCTCTGTTAAATCACATTTCTGTTGAAAGACATGTCCTTCCTATGTGCATCTTCACACAGCTAACCAGATTTTACTGATGCTTTCATTTAATGACTGTTTTTCTTTTTTGAGACAGTTTCACTCTTGTCACCCAGGCTGGAGTGTAGTGGTGCAATCTTGGCTCACTGCAACCTCCACCTTCTAGGTTCAAGTGATTCTCCTGCCTCAGCCTCCTGAGTAGCTGGGATTAACAGGCACACACCACCACACCTGGCTAATTTTTGTATTTTTAGTAGAGATGGGGTTTCACCACGTTGGCCAGGCTGGTATCAAACTCCTGACCTCAGGTGATCCACCCGTCTCAGCTTCCCAAAGTGCTAGGATTACAGGCGTGAGGCCCCCAGCCCGGCCAATGACTGTTTTTCATAAAGCCATTTTTTTTTTTTTTTGCTTTGTTTTGACCCCAACAGGAGTCCCTTTGCAGTGGTAACATGCAGACAACAAAGCTGTGCGTAGAGGAAGACGGGAGGCTGGCCAATAGGTTTGTCGCTTATCTCATTTAGCAAGGAACGCCTGGTATGCGATTCAAACTCATTCCTTAGCAAAATCACAGCCTGTCATGGACTTTTGGAGTGACCCGTAAAGAATCAACAGAGCAACAGTAAAATCCACGTCAAAGGTCTGTATTTGATGACTTCTTGAATCTTACTGGTGTGTGCAACTACATGGCCCAGATGTAGTATAAGCACCACCATGTCCCCTCTTGAGGTAATAATCCAACAGATGCTTCAATGCTAAGTGACTGATTAAATCTTTTCACTGGACCTGATAAAATCTGGCAAATTCTTGTACCACTAGTTCTTAATAGTTAACATAAGCAGTTTAGCTCTAGGAGGGGACTCATAGGAAGAACTGAGAAAAGGTTAAAAATAAATCTCAAAATGCCACTAGCTAATTTCCCAACCTCCTATAAAATGAGAAAGGGAAGGCCAAATCGACATCTGGCAAGAAACAGTTCTAACACACAGGCCCCAGCTGAGGCCCCATCTGAGGCCTGAGTGTTGAAAAAGATAATGAAGAAGCTTGAATAAGAAATGCATTTAACCGAAATTAATTTCAGTCATGAGACTCAGATTGGATTAAAATTTAAAATCAAATTACAGTCCTCGCTTTAATAGAAAATTACAGGATGACTCTGACATTCATGAACAAAACATGACAAATATAACTTACCTTTAAACCCTTCTTCTGGCATACAAACTGAAAAAAGGAAAAAAAAAAAAAAAAGAATTCCAAATTGGAAAGATTGTCGTGACAGACAGTATAAGATCACTTCAATGCTTAAGGATAAGAGTTTAAGTAACTTTTGATTACCTTAGTCACCGTGTAATAATCGTCTTTGAAGTTATGGATGTTACTAATCTGAGGACAGTCTTTTCTGTTTTTATCAAAGCAATACGCATCATCTAAAAAGTAAAACGCTGACAAGACTCAGTTTGCAACTAGAGCACACAAGGTGCACAACTCTAGGAGTGGCCTGGGGGAAAGCCACATAACTTGACTCCTGCGAAGCGGTCTCTCCCCTTCCTCTGCCCAAGTTCTGGAAGGAGTCGCTTTTGACTCATGTAGCAGCTTCTTCTGTATTTAGCCTATTTCTAAATAACATGCTTATATTGCTATTTCATAATTTTGTTTTTATTTTTTGAGAGGGAGTCTAGCTCTGTTGCCCAGGCTGGAATGCAATGGCGCAATCTTGGCTCACTGCAACCTCCGCCTCCTGGGTTCAAGTGATTCTCCTGCCTCAGCGTCCAGAGTAGCTGAGACTACAGGCACACACCACCACACAGGGCTAATTTTTGTATTTTTAGTAGAGACAGGGTTTCACCATGTTGACCAGCTGGTCTTCCAACTCCTGATCTCAAGTGATCCACCTGTCTCAGCCTCCCAAGATGCTGGGATTACAGGTGTGAGCCACCATGCCTGGGCTATTTCACAATTTTTCCTAAAATCTACTAACTTCCTCAGTGAATGATGCAAACGGCTCTTCTACTGCTCACACAGTCCCCGCCCCCACCCCATCCTCCTGATGAAGTGGCATGTGTTGTTGTTAAGCCAGTTTTCAGTACTGGCATTATGTTTACTCCGTTAATACCAGTCACAGTTGAATGCTTTGGTGCACCATGGTTGTATTTCCTATGTGGTATGACTTGGGTCTTTCTGAGCTTGGTAACTACTGCATTAGTGATGTGTTTCATTTTCTCTGTATTTATCACCAGTCTACATATAAACTCTGAAAGACCTGTAACCTCTTGAAGGCAGTCTTCATCACTTCCATTTTTCCTTGTGGCATCCCTCCCTGAAGCTTGCATCCCACTGCTCCAATATGGATCAGGTATCTTCGCTGCCTGCTGAAGAACAGCTCTGAGACTTCCCTTTACCATCTTCCAGGGCACCTTATCCTATGCTGATCCCCTGTTTACTGGGTCCACTCTTCATTTCTTTCTTGATTTAATGTTTAAGAAGAACAAGAAGAACACATCCTCACACAGTATCTCGGCAGATGGTGCATGACAGATCAATCTTTTGAGGCCTTATGTATGTTCAAAGAGCCATCAGGTGTGAGGGTAGAATAAAGTCAGTTTAGTTACAGAATTCTAGATTGGAACTCACTTTCCCACAGGATCTTGTGGGCACTGCTCCATTATCTCGTCTTCCTGACTTCAACCTGTGAATTCGATCGGCTTTCCCTCTGTACCTCTAGATGCTTTCATGACCATTTTATCCTTAGTTTTTCACTTACTGTAACAAACCCATGGTGCAATCACTTTTTATTTCCATGAACTCTTTTCTATTCTCCAAATGTTCCTTTTATATAGTTCCTCTTGCTATTGTTTGTTTGCTTCCTATGCTATTTCCTTGATATCTCTTGGTATCAGGCTCTTATTCCTCAACTATCTGGCTGCTCATTTCTACCTAAGTATGAGGTAGTAAAAAGATGTCTGGGCCGGGGCATGATGGCTCAGGACTGTAATCCCAGCATATTGGGAGGTCAAGACGCATGGATCCCAAGGCCAGGAGATCCAGAGCAGCCTGGCCAAAAAAAGTAAAACCTCATCTCTACTAAAAATACAAAAAACTAGCTGGGAATGGTAGTTAAGTGCTTGCAGTCCCAGCTACTTGGGAGGCTGAGGCAGAAGAATCGCTTGAACCTCAGAGGCAGAGATTGTAGTGAGCTGAGATCACGCCACTGCACTTCAGCTTGGACGACAAAGCAAGACTCCATCTTAAAAAAAAAAAAGATGTCTGTGAAGTCTGAGGATTTGGGTATAAACAAAAGGAAAAACAAATGTCTGAAAGCTCTGTTCAGTGGGCACTGGTGGGATTAACTGAAGGGTACCTGGGAGATGAACCAGCTTTTAAAAAATACCAACAAGGCAGGGCACAATGGCTCACATCTGTAATTCCAACACTTTGGGAGGCCAAGATGAGCAGATCACCTGAGGTCAAGAATTCAAGACCAGCCTGGCCAATATAGCGAAACATGGTCTCTAGTATAAAAATTAGCCAGGCCGGCCAGGCGCGGTGGCTCAAGCCTGTAATCCCAGCACTTTGGGAGGCCGAGGCGGGTGGATCACGAGGTCAAGAGATCGAGACCATCCTGGTCAACAAGGTGAAACCCCGTCTCTACTAAAAATACAAAAAAAAAAAAAAAAAAAAAAAAAAATTAGCTGGGCATGGTGGCACGTGCCTGTAATCCCAGCTACTCAGGAGGCTGAGGCAGGACAATTGCCTGAACCCAGGAGGAGGAGGCTGCGGTGAGCCGAGATCACGCCACTGCACTCCAGCCTGGGTAACAAGAGTGAAACTCTGTATCAAAAAAAATAAAATAAAATAAAATTAGCCAGGCCACAGCTTTAAAAAAAAAAAAAAAAAAAAGCCAGGTATGGTGGCATACACCTATGCTACTCAGGAGAATGAGCCAGGAGAATCACGTGAACCCCAGAGGTGGAGGTTGCAGTGATCATGCCACTGCACCCCAGCCTAGGTGACAGACTCCGTCTCAAAAAACAAAAACCAAACATATTATTTGTACATATATATTGGGTACTGGTGATATTTTGATACATGCATTCAATGTATGATGATCACATCAGGGTATTTAGTATATCCATCACCTTGAATATTTATTATTTCTTTTTTTTCAGACAGGGTCTCAATCTGTCACCCAGGCTTGAGTGCAGTGGCATGATCACAGCTCACTGCAGCCTTGAACTCCTGGGCTCAAGCAATCCACCCACCTCAGCCTCCCAAGTATCTGAGACCACAGGTGCAGGCCACCATGCCTGGCTACTTTTTAAAAATTTGTAGTAGAGTCAGGGTCTCACTATGCTGCCCAGGATGGTCTTGAACTCCTGGGCTCAAGTGATCCACTGCGCTCGGCCTATCATTTGTTTGTGCTGGGAACATTTCATGATCTTTTCTACTAGCTCTTTTGAAATATACAACATATCACCCTACTGTGCTATTGAAAACCAGAACTTATTCCTTCTATCATATTGTATGTTTGTACCCATTAACCAACCGCCCTTCACACGCCCTTTCCCACTCTCTCATAACTATCATTCTACGGGCCCAAGGTTAGCTTTTGTAGCTCCTACGTATGAGTGAGAAAATACATTCTCTCTATTTTGGAGCCTGGCTTATTTCACCTTACATAATATCCCCTAGTTCCATCCACATTGCTGCAAATGACAGGATTTCGTTTTGTTAATGGCTGAATAGTATCCCACTGTACGTGTACATATAAATATAATGTTTTTTATCGGTTTATCTACTGATGGACACTTAGGCTGACTCCATACCTCAGCTGCTGTGAACAGTACTGCAATAGACATGGGAGTGCTGATATCCTTTTGATACACTGATTTCTTTTCCTTTGGATAAATACCACTAGAGGGATTGCTGGATCATATGGTAACTGTATTTTTAGTCTTGAGAAACTTCCATAATGTTTCCATAACGGCTGTACTAATTTACATTCCTACCAACAGTGTATAAGAGTTCCCTTTTCCCTTTTCTCTGCATCCTAGTTACATGTTATTGTCTTTTTGATAATAGCCATGCTGACTGGGAGAAGCTGGTATCTCACTGTGATTTTGATTCACATTTCCCTGATTAGTGATGCTGAACATCTTCCATACATCTATTGTCCACTTGTATGTCTTCTTTTGAGAAATGTCTACTCAGATCCTTTGCCTGCTTTTTAATGAGATTATATTTTCTCCCATTCTACAGGTTGCCCCTGCAACTCTGATTATTTCCTTTGCTGTGCAGAAGCTTTTTAGTTTAATATAGTCCATTTGTTTATTTTTGGTTTTGTTCCCTGTGCTTTTGAGGTCTTTGCCAAAATCTCTGTCTAGACCAATGTTTGAAAGCATTTCCCCCCATATTTAATTCTAGCAATTTCATAGTTTCAGGTTTTACATTTAAGTCTTTAATCCATTTTGAGTTGATTTTTTTTTTCTTTTCCTGAGATGGAGTCTAGCTCTGTCGTCCAGGCTGGAGTGCAGTGGCGCAATCTCAGCTCACTGCAACCTCCACCTCCCGGGTTCAAGCAATTCTACTGCCTCAGCCTCCTAAGTAGCTAGGATAACAGATGTTCACCACCACGCCTGGCTAATTTTTGTATTTTTAGTAAAGACGGGGTTTCAGCATGTTGGCCAGGATGGTCTTGATCTCCTGACCTCGTGATCCACCTGCCTTGGCCTCCACAGTGCTGGAATTACAGGCATGAGCCACCTCACCCTGCCTTGAGTTGATATTTATATATAGTGAGACAGAGGCCTAGTTTCATTTTTCTGCATATGGATATCCAGTTTCCCCAGCATCATTTATTGAAGAAGATAGCCTTTCCCCAATGTATGTTCTTGGTGCCTTTGTCATAAATCACTTGGCTGTAAATACATGAAATTGTTTTGGGGTTCTTTATTCTGTTCCATTGTCCTATGTTTTATACCAATACCATGCTGTTTAGGTTACTATAGCTTTGTAATATATTTTGAAGCCAGGTATCATGATGTCTCCAGCTTTGTTCTTTTTGCTGATAATTGATTTGGCTATTCATGGTCTTTTCTGGTTTGACATGAATTTTTTTTTTTTTTTTTCCTGAGACGAAGTTTTGCTCTTGCTGCCCAGTCTGGAGTGCAACGGTGCAACCTCAGCTCACCACAATCTCTATCTCCTGGGTTCAAGCAATTCTCTTGTTTCAGTCTCTCGAGTAGCTAGGATTACAGGCATGTGCCACCATGCCTGCCTAACTTTATATTTTTAGTAGAGACGGTGTTTCTCCATGTTGGTCAGGCTGGTCTTGAACTCCCAACTTCTGGCAATCTGCCCGCCTCAGCCTCTCAAAGTGCTTGGATTACAGGTGTGAGCCACTGCGCCCAGCCTCCATATAAATTTTGGGAATTTTTTTTTTTTTTTTTTTTTTTTTTTGGAGATGGAATCTCACTGTTGCTAAGCTGCAGTACAGTGGTGCAATCTCGGATCACTGCAACCTCTGCATCCTGGGTTCAAGCAATTTTTCTGCCTCAGCCTCCCAAGTAGCTGGGATTACAGGTGCATGCCACCATGCCTGGCTAATTTTTGTATTTTTAGTAGAGATGGGGTTTCACCATGTTGTGACCTGCCTGCCTCAGCCTCCCAAAATGCTGAGATTATAGGTGAGTCACTGTGCCCAGCCCTTCGATTTCTTATATTAGTGTTTTGTAGTTTTCCTTGTAGAGGTCTTTCACCTTCTTGGTTAAATTTATTCCTAGGTATCTAATCTTATTATTATTTTGGTAGCTATTATCATCAGAATTGCTTTCTTGATTTCTTTTTCTTTTTTGAGATGTACTCTCTCTGTCATCAGGCTGGAGAGCGCAGCGGTGCGATCTCGGCTCACTGCAATCTTTACCTGCCAGAGTCAAGCAATTCTGCCTTGGCCTCCCTAGTAACTGGGATTACAGGTGTGCGCTGCCATGCGTGATTAATTTTTGTCATTTTAATTAGAGATGAGGTTTCGTCATGTTGATCAGGCTGGTCAGGAACTCCTGCCCTCAACTGACCCAGGTGCCTCAGCCCCCCGCCCAAAGTGTTGGGATTATAGGAGTGAGCTACTGTGCCCGGCCGCTTTCGTGGTTTCTTTTTCAGCTAGTTCCTTATTGGTACAGAGTAATGCTAACTTTTATATGTTGATTTTTGTTAGGTGAACATAATAACCACTACACTACAGAAATTCACTTTGTACACTGATTTTTGTATCCTACAATTTTACTGAATGTTTATCAGTTGTTCTAAGAGTGTTCTGGTAGAGTCTTTAGGTTTTTCTACATATGTAAGATCGTGTAGGCCCCGCATGCTGGCTTACACCTGTAATCCTAGCATTTTGGGAGACCCAGGTGGGCGGATCACTTGCAGCCAGGAGTTGGGAGACCAGCCTGGCTAATATGGCAAAACCCAGTCTCTAGTAAAAATACAAAAAGTAACTGGGCATCGCGGCATGTGCCTATAGTCCTAGCTACTTGGGAGGCTGAGGCACAAGAATTGCTTGAACCCAGGAAGTGGTGGCTGCAGCGAGTTGAGATCCTGACACTGCACTCCAGCCCGGGCAACAGAGAGACTCTGTTTCCAAAACAAAACAAAACAAAACAAAACGTCATCTGCAAAGAGAGACCATTCAACTTGCTCTTTTCCAATTTTGCATGCTTTTTATTTATTTCTCTTTCCTAATTGCCCTGGCTAGGACTTCCCATACTAGGTTGAATTAACAGTGGTGTGAACGGTCATCGTTGTCTATTCCAGTTCTTAGAGGAAAGCTTTAAGCTTTTCCCCATTAGGCGTGATGTCAGCTGTGGGTTTCTCACATATGGCCTTTATCATATTGAGGTATGTTCCTTCTGTGGTTAATTTGTTGAGACATTTTACCATGAAGAGATGTTAATTTTTATCAAATACCTTTTCTTTGTCTATTAAGATAATCATGTTATTTTTGTCCTTCATTCTGCTGATGTGATATATTGATTTGTAAATGTTGAACCATCCCTGCATCCCTATGATGCAAGAAATCCCACTTGATCATACAGAACCAGACTTTTTACATCCATTGGTTATTTTCTTGACTTGGCTAGTTTCCCAGGAGAGAAATCCCTTCCCATCCAGAGGGTAATGGGCTGCCCAAATTTGAGCAAAGGGCTGGGAGATGGTCTTCTATTTGGTTTAGGCTTTGTCCCAACCTTTCTAGTTTAATTTTTGCAAGTGTGGAAACACATAATTCTGGGTGCCCATCTGAGGTCCAGGTGGGGATGGGTAAGTGACAAGGATGTGAAGGATAGGGAGCTATCCAACTGCTTCTTATACAGTTTTGCAAAGAAGTATCGTGTTATCTTGTTTTTAGGCTCACACCTCATTCTCACCTTCAGAGGTACCTGGGCCTCTAATTTGTGTGTGCCTGCAATTCGACTTGGCTTTGCTTCTTGTTGATCCCCTCCATCAGCAGGCTGACATTTACTTCAGCTTCCTCAGGTTAGCTTCTCAAGTTTTTGTAGCTACTGTTCCCTCCTTTCTATGATCTTTTAAGACAAACAATGTATTCTACCTTAACATGTGGAAGCTTTTTTCAAGGTTAAAAGTAAAAGTACTGTATGTTAACGCTCCAGTATGTAAAATCCCACCTCCTTCTAACACCTAACCAGCAGATTCCTAAAACAAATTCATCTTTACCTTGCATGACATCATCCATTGCAGCATAATCTGCAATTGGTTCATCAGCCTAGAAAACAAATGAAGACAATTCAAAACCACAAGGGAGTGGGAGTCTGAAATTGGAAGTATGGCCCATGATTCAAATACTGATATTGCTATAAGACACAAACACACTGTTCCAGCAGAGAACTCAGTTTGCAAGTTGAATAGTGGATGCCCCGTTGGCTATGGGTCTAGAATCAACACCTCAGAAATGGTATACTGCGTGTGAGAAGAGGAAAGGCAGGGGGGACTGTTTTCCCTTTTTTTTTTTTTTTTTTTTTTTTTTTGAGATGGAGTTTCGCTCTTGTTACCCAGGCTGGAGTGCAATGGCGCGATCTCGGCTCACCGCAACCTCCACCTCCCGGGTTCAGGCAATTCTCCTGCCTCAGTCTCCTGAGTAGCTGGGATTACAGGCATGCGCCACCATGCCCAGCTAATTTTTTGTGTTTTTAGTAGAGACGGGGTTTCACCATGTTGACCAGGATGGTCTCAATCTCTTGACCTCATGATCCACCCGCCTCGGCCTCCCAAAGTGCTGGGATTACAGGCGTGAGCCACCGCGCCCTGCCTGTTTTCCCATTTTTAAAGACCCATTTAGACATGGAAATGTTTAGACACCCTGGGGTTACTCAAGACTGATTTAACCAACGTGAGTTAAGACACTGGTAGTGGCAGTGAGGGGTAGAAATAAAGTTAGACTGGTCCTCTCAGAATACCAATTAGGTTAAAATTTTAATTTTGTCCCACTTCACCAGCAAGAGCAGGATACCTATTTCCTTTTTAGGAGGAAGCTTATGTCTGAGCTTACGATGAGGTTAGCTGCAAGGATAACGAGGCCAATGACCAGTACAGACTCTAGCTGCCCATGTGAAGTACAAACCCTTGAACCTACAGTTCCAGGAAATGCAGAAGGTTAAACAGAGGGAGGGGTAGGTGGTAGGAAGAGGGGTGTGTGTGCATGGATGGGGTAGATATGGCTATGCCTCATCATTCCAGGGCCTGACTTTATCACACCAGAACTGGGGCTCCAGGGTTTGGAAAGCACACATTTTCACAGTTCAAAATAAAAAACCTGAGCAATTATTCTACCACATGATGTGGTGGTATTTGGCATAGTAAGAATTCTTTTGGCCAAGAAGAAACAAAAGAGGCAATGGGAAGTGACTAGGCCTTTAGGGAGGGTACAAATTTGGGCAAGAGAGGCTGGTTCAATGCTTTTTGTTTGTTTGTTTGTTTGAGACGGAGTCTCACTCTGTCACCCAGGCTGGAGTGCAGTGGTGCTATCTCAGCTCACTGCAACCTCAACCTCCCAGGTTCAAGCAATTCTCCTGCCTTAGCCTCCTGAGTAGCTGGGACTACAGACGCATGCCACCACGCCCGGCTAATTTTTTTGTATTTTTAGAGATGGGGTTTTACTGTGTTGGCCAGGCTGGTCTGAAACTCTGGACCTCAGGTGATCCACTTGCCTTGGCCTCCCGAAGTGCTGGGATTACAGGCACGAGCCACTGCACCCAGCCTCAATGACTTTTCTTTGACAGTATCTTAGAGGCCCCTACTTTCTAAATCATCTTCCATATGTACTAAATCCAAAACCAATTTCCATACCCAGGACAAGAATCTTATTAAGTTGTGTATTTTGACTGCTGCGACGGAGCCTTGCGTTTTACCCTTGCTTCCTACCTTGGCTGGCTAGTACTTTTGAACCAAAAGGAAGAGAGGAGATGCTTTAATACTATGAAGTATGGTTAAGTAATTCTGCTGAACTGAAGTTAGAGAAAAGGTTAGGGAGGAGGTTGAATCTACTTTTAACAAAAACTATGAAAATCTCAGCAGAGATAGATTTTAAAGTATAAAATAAGTTACTATTCACACTGGTCACAAGTCTATCTTCTACCTTTTTATTATTATTATTTTTTTTTTTCTTGGTGGGGCAGCATTTCATATTAAGTTGCAAACATCAGTATCATTAGTGTGGTGTTAAGAACAGATCCATCTAGTCAAAAAAAGGAAAAAAAGTTGGGGTGGGGGGAGTGGAGGGCATTGGGGAAAGGACACCACAGAAACTTGGTGACCTGAGACCAGATCACTCAGCTTTTCCCCTTGAAATGACAGTCAATCCTCAGTGCTCAGAGGGCTACAACCCAACATGACTCCCTTCCTCCCAGTCTGAGGGGAATGGAAACTAGATTGGTATCTCGAGAAGAACCGGGGCACTTATGACAGAAAATCAAACAGGAAAAATCAGGTGTGGGGCTTAGCAGTTGGTGAGTGTGATTATACGACTGCCCTGCCCTACCAGGGAACAGGAAATCCCACAAAGGCATAGAAACTGAACTAGGTGATCCAGGAAAGGCCAAGAAAAGCCTTCACTTTCACCTTCTCAGGATACCAGCAGTTGCTGATGTTGTGGCATTAACAGCACCTACTGTAACACACAAGAACAAGATATGACGATGTTCTGACCTTCTCTAAGTCTCTTGCGGCTCAGCCAGAGCTGGGCTGAGCTGTAAAAACTCACAGCAGTCATTTACCACTACCCTCTGCTGAAGACCCAAGGCATCCTTTAACCACCATTTCACACAGTTTACACATACTTATGTAACATTTAAAACCTTGAGGCTAAGGAGCTGTTTGCTTACCTTTAATAAAATGACAGATTCAGGAATGACGCCAAGGGTGCCTAGGGTGGCACAGTCATCACTTAGAATCTTTCCATCAATCGACAAATTCTGGTCAAAAGGAGCAACTGAAAATGCATGCATGATCTGTGCCAATATAAAAGAGACAAAGTCCATATAATACAAAATACTGAGACTTACACCCTATTTGAATAAATTATGCACAGATTCTTAAAACACAAACAAAAAGGCTTCAGAGTACAAAACCACTATTGCTTACAGTCAGCCAACTTATTACACTCCTACTGAGGCTATCATCCCCGATGTATCTGGGAACATCCTTAGGAGGTCTGGTAGCGTACTGGGGAACAATTACACACATAGATGCATTTGTTCCTTACCATACCAGCTTCCCAAGGGTGGAGGTGTGGGGAAATAAAATGAGTAAAAAATGGGGCTGGGCTGATGGCTACTCTGAGGCTTAGGCAAGGTCATCACTCTCACCCCACCATTCCCAGGCCCCATTCCCTTTCATAAACAAGTCAAGTCAAAATCCTTTCTTTTTGTTTTTGTTGGGACAGGGTCTCATCTGTCACCCAGGCTGGAGTGCAGTGGTACAATCATGGCTCACTGCAGCCTTGATCCTCCCACCCAAGCCTCCTGAGCAGCTGGGACTACAGATGTGCGCCACCATGTCTGGCTGATTTTTAATTTTTTTGTAGACATGAAGTCTTGCTACGTTGCCCAGGCTGGTCTCAAACTCTCAGAATCAAGTAATCCTCCTGTCTCAGCCTCCCGAAGTACAGAGATTGCCACTGGACCTGATCCAAAACTCTTTCTTAAAACCATCTTTAAATTCTCTCTTTTGTTCCTATTCCTTTAGCAAATGGTCTGGGGTATATAATTCAGCCCTCAGAACTGTCACATATTCTTAGATTGAGTCTTGTCTCTAGGAAACAAAATACGAATTTCTGAAGGGTAGGGACCATATGCCCCACCCTAGTTCTGGCTAGGTGTTAAAAATTAAATACATTCCAGGATGAGTGTGGTGGCTCATTCCTGTAATCCCAGCACTTTGGGAGGCCAAGGCAGGCAGATCACCTGAGGTCAGGAGTTCAAGACCAGCCTGGCCAAAATGGTGAAACCCCATCTCTACTAAAAATACAAAAATTAGCTGGGTACGGTGGCACACGCCTGTAGTCCCACATACTTAGGAGGCTAACGCAGGAGAATCACTTGAACCTGGGAAGCAGACGTTGCAGTAAGCCAAGATTGCACCACTGCACTTCAGCCAGGGCAACAAAGCAAGACGATGCCTCAAAAAACAACAACAACAACAACAACAACAACAACAACAAAACCCCACACATTCTGAAATACTGGTATACATAATATTTAAATGTTTTTATAAATTCAGAAAGGTATTTTTTTTAATTTTATCACTTCTGGGTATGGGCAGAAAAACCATTCTGCCCTGTCCTGCACTCTATTCTTTGGATGTGGAAAGACAAAAGGAGCCTCACAAATCAACCCTGAACTATGCGTGTAACAGGGCCCAAGAGCTTGACAGGCCAGGGTGATGGAGACCAGAAAAGTGATTTTAATGATGGCACCAAAGACAAGAACAAGGATAACAGCACTGGCCTCCTCCCTAACTGCTGGGACAGAATCTTACCTGATTTCTCAAAAGAATAACAGCACCAGGATGACCTAATTAGAGATCTGTGGCTAGCAATGAAAGTGCACTGGCATCATCAATGGTCTTCATGAAGCAATAAGCAGGAAGTACCAACAGGACAGTTCTATGAAAGCCAGCTCAGCATGCAAACATGAAGCAGGGGCATATCCAGCCCTACACCAGCAAGTGTTCTGCAACCATGACGATCAAGCAGAGCTATGGTGGATGTGTATAATATCAGAGCTGCTGGACTGTAGAAATGCTCCTTTATGCCCTTAAATGCTAAGTGCTTTTGTACTATCCTATGAAACTGGACAAATCTCTCTAGATAGAAGTGCCACAACTGAGGTGCTGACGTTAACACATTATATTCTGAGAAGGGACAAGGACATTGAGATGATGCCAACAACTAATGAAGCATTTATTAAAAAGGTACCATGTGTCAACTACTGTTTTAGATGCTGATAATATAAAAGTGAGTAATCCCACCCTGGAGGGGTTCCCAGGAATGAGGTCAAATCAAAGTTGTGAGGATGGCAGCAAAAGGTATGTGCAGGATCTAGGGAGCACTGGGGGACAGACTGTTCCATGAAAGGGGCCAAGATAGGTTTCACAGAAGAGGCACTATGAAAGATGATAGGAGAAGATGGAACAGGCCTACCAGGGCAGGGAGGCCTACAGTAAAATAATCCATAAACTCTAAGTGCTAGGAGAATGCCTGAGTATAAAGAACACGATAGAGTCTGCGTAACAAGCAGGCGTGGCATTCCTGGTCTTTGGAGTGTAACAGGAACCATGAAAACCCTGTTGCTCTCAGGGAGGGGCTCTCCTCTGCTTGCGATGGTGGGAGGGGCTGAAATAAGAAAATACAGAAGCAATCGCCTCAGCTGCCAGCCATTTCACTTCTGTGCCAAAATGTTCTACTTTCTCAGGCAGGCACTACCACCCACCCACTAAAGATCTATCTTTGGGAAAATGAAATAATACAATTAAACACTGCACATCTTTTGAGAAAGGAGCTGAACAAATTGTACTTCATTAACTTCATGTGATCAAAGGTGGATGAATTAGTAATTAGACACAGCAAGCTTTAAAAGGTTTCAAGCAACTATATATGGTAGATATGTCTAGAAACAAACACTTAAAGATTTGCAAAGGCTGTTATCCTGCTAACTTAGAAATGCAGTATCCCCAGAGGAAAGGCCCCATCAATCACTAAAACATGAAATACACGCCTTAAGAAAATCACCCACCACCACCACTGAGGATCACGTACATGCCCACCACAAACTCCAATGCTATCCAGGCTACCAGGCTCATATCTAGTTGAAGCTTTACAAGCAACCATCACTATATAGCAAGGGGAAGTGGGTGACATTTCCCTGCCCCTTCTTTCACTCTGGTCTGCAGTGGTTCCTGAAGCAAGAGTGGAGATGAGAAAGCCATTTAAGAAGAGCACATCTGGGGGCTGTGTGAACAGCTGCTGTCTTCTAGCAGCTCATTCATGCAGGTAACATGCTCTCATATAGAAGGATTATTTCTGCTGACTTTTGGTTTATTCTTTAAAATGGTAGTCCATAATAAAAGCAGCACAGACTTTAAAAAATGTCTTTATGCACAGGGGTTCTTTTTTTAATTTAAAGGTTTTTCACGTTCGAGGTTTCCCAATGACAGGCAGAAAGCTGCTGATAGAAACAGGGTTTCTTAGATGTCAAAGGCACAATAACAGAGTAAAGATATTATGCCAACATGCTTATTTTCAGAGCCATGGGTTCAACCAAGGGAAATACTGTTGTCAGGACAATCTGGAACACATAACACCCTCAAAGGAAGCCTGTACTTTTGCCTCAATTATAATGATAAATATCAGCAACAAGAAAAATGTGTAACCAGTAAACTATGCCACATAAAAGTAGCAAAGAAGGAAATCTGGTCAACTTTTTGGATATCTATCAGTGACTGAAACAGATTAGGGGCCAGATTTTTTCATGGACATCTTGAATTTATCAGTTCCTTCTGCCTAGATTTGAGATTTACCACTGGAATGCCCATTTATAGTATTTCAGTATTGATACCAAGAAGTAACAATATCATGAAACCATTTAATAATGACTGCATTACAGCTACCGAACTGATCTGTAAAGCTAATGTATGCTTTAGGGTGGGGATGGGGATGGACAAGGCATCATCTAAAATGAATCTTTGTCACAATTTTGAAAACATCACTGCACAAAGAAAGGTAAAGATAACTTTAAAACTCTATCAGATAGACTTGTCTGCCACCAAAAACACTGTGACAGCCTAGTGAATAAGCAATCACTAATCGCTAACAATAAACTGCCTTTTTTCTCCCATTAAATTTCACAGCAGTTCCTGGTAACAGGCTCCAATACCTATTAAGTGGTCAAAGAAAAGCATACAGCACAATAAAGTGAGAGAACAGCTATCCTGGCACAACCTCAACATGTGACAAATTAAATGGTTCCTAATGTTTCTCATTATTGGAAAGCCACGCAGAACGGCCCACATTTCCAGAATCAAAATTCACTTTCATCTTCATAAAATGATTTTTGGCTATTTTGAAAACTTTAAGTCTTTTGGAAAAAAACACATATACACACATACATAAATATAGGTGGAAAGCAGGAATTCATGAAGGCCCTCTTAAGTCCAGAGCAGACTTGAACCAATGTTTTCCTCACCTGAATTTTCAATTCTTTTAACGTCTGGTTAGCAGAAACGAGAAGTGCCTTCTCACCACGAACTTTTCTATGTCGCATACTTCGGCGAATAACTTGCTTTTGATAGGCTATATAATTTTGATGGGATATCTTTTGCCGCTTTGTTCCACCATTGCTCTATAATGGAGATTGAAAATGAAGAAAGCACTGAAATTATCCAGTGTGATCCTTGCTCATTAAGTTTTTTAGGCAAACAAAAGCCGTTTACTTATTGGTCCCTTAAACATGTGAAACTCAATGTGAACAATGAGTAGAGACTAGTGAGACTTTCTTAGCAGGTTCACATATAATTGATAAAAGAATGAGTAATACACACCTCTAATTGCATGTAAGCAGTTTAAATGTTTGTTTGAAGAGACAGTTAAGGTTTGGCAAGGGGGCTCAGACCTATAATCCCAAGAGTTCAAGACCAGCCTGGGCAACATATTAAGACCCATCTTGACCAAAAATGAGCCAGGCGTGGTGGCATGAGCCTGTAGTCCCAGCTACTTGGAGGCTGAGGCAGGAGGATCACTTGAGCCCAATAGTTCCAGGCTGCAGTGAGCTACAATCACACCACTGTACTCCACTCTAGTGACAGAGAGAGACTCCGTCTCTTTTATAAAAAACAAAAAGGAGAGAGATGACATTTAAAATTAAAATGATTAAATCTGACCTTAAATCAGAAAAACATAATAAACTAAAAAACTTCAGGATTACAAAATTTAGTTCATAAACAACCTGAACTGTAAATATATTCTTCTCTTTTTAAGAATGACATGGAAACTAAGTATAAACTGCTGCAAATTTAAAAATATAAAACCTTTATTTAAAAAATTAAACTTAACTAAAAACAAGACTGTATCACTTGTCCTAATGGCAAAATATAGTCTCACTCATAAAATATTCTTGCAAAAATGTTAAATCTGGATGTAATCAAACATTTACACACACCTTTCAATTTACAGAAACTGAAATATAGGGGATATACAAATAAAATAAGTAACATAAGGAAACAGTCAGCCAAATATAGAACATGGGACAATCTAAAAGAAATCAAATTGGTCCAAGTTCAATGTCAAGAAGGGAAAGAACTGGGTGTGGTGGCTCATGCCTGTAATCCCCGCACTTTGGGAGGTCAAGGTGGGCAGATCAACTGAGGTCAGGAGTTCGAGACCAGACTGACCAACATGGAGAAACTTCATCTCTATTAAAAATACAAAATTAGCTGGGTATGGTGGCAAATGCCTGTAATCTCAGCTACTTGGGAGGCAGAGGCAGGAGAATCGCTTGAACCCAGGAGGCAGAGGTTGCAGTAAGCTGAGATTGTGCCATTACACTTGAGCCTGGGCAACAAGAGCAAAACTCTGTCTTATAAAAAAAAAAAAAAGAAGAGGAGAAAGAAAGGGGGTGGAGAGGAAGAGTAACTGTTCCAAATTCTAAGTCTAAAGTGATACAAACAACACATATCCTGAATATATACGGGTCTGAGGGGGGAAAAATGTTCAAGACATATCTGAGGATGGGTATTATAAGACAGTAGGGAGTTTTCGTTAGTTTTCTTATTTATGAGCACATTATTAGTATTATATAGGGCATTGTCTTCATTTTTAGAGGGGAAATGTCATGATGGCCATGACTACCTAATGGTGCTATAAAAAGGATGCACACGGGTGTGCATGATACATGCAGTACTAGTCAAAAAAACAAAAAACCCACAGATGACAACCAAATATCCGTCTACAGTACTCCTATAAATCCCTCATCAAGAGGTTAACAGTCAAGAGTCTGCCTTTTTTTTTTTTTTTTTTTTTTTTTTTTACCAAATGTGGTGGTGGTGGCCAGGGGGGTTGGGTGAGAGGTACGGGGGATATTCGTCTAACCAGGCTAGGGAATAAAAGAAGCAGGAATTTTAAGGAAATCTTTTCCTCTGGTTTAATTAAAATCTGGATGAGGTAACCTCAAGACCCTGGCTCTGGTTTCCACAGTTGTCACTGAGTGTCAGCTGTGCATAAGCAGAGTGGTTTAGCAGTCATTACGGACACAGATGCCACATATTCATTACGCACGGGCTCCACAGTTTACAAAGCAGAAGGTGATCAGGACCCAAACACAGAAGAGCATTTGTTCAGGGTGCTGACCACTGGTGAGACACTGCCTGAGGCTAGTTAAGCTCTAGCCCCGAATCTACAGAGGCAACTGGGTGGTTCTAAGATTCGCAAGAAAAAATTAAATGCACATGTGGGTTAAAAAAATAAAATGAAAGTTGATGAAACATTTTTCTCAATCAATTGAACCAAAATTCTACAATCAGGAATATAAGGAAAAATATCTACATCAACATATAATTTTATTTTAGAAGTACAAAACACAATCAAAAAACAAAACCCTAATCATCAAACGAGATAGATGGTTTAATAACTCTGATTTTAAATGGGTCTAAAGGCTTTTCCTGGAATTATTTCTTCTTAATCTAGAGGATTTAAATCCAACTTAGCTGACAAAAACAAAAACAAAACAAAACAAAAAAAACCAGCCCACCGGTTTTAGAAGGCTTTCAGTTACCTAAGTGATACCCAATACTGAGTATATTATTAACCTAAATTTCTAGATGAAGTCAAAGGAATCGGGTTGATCTAGCTTAGAGAAAAGAGGAAAGGGGATTTGTTTATCTCCACTATGGACAAGCAGAATTGCATCATTTTTTATTGCAGGGATTTAAAGCAGCAATTACAGAAGCTACGTATATACTGAGATATCTATGTGATGAGGAGGGTGACATTTTGAAAATGCTGAACATTTTTCAGGGACTATCTAGTCTTTTCCAAAGAGGAAGGTTACACTTGAGATTTTTTTTGAGCCAAAAATTTTTTGTGAGAACAAAATGTGAAACGTTCTAGAGTATTACAACATCCAAACAAGGAGAAGGAAGACAGAAGAAAACTATGAAGTATAAAAAATAATTACAGTATAAAAAGCGATGTTCCCCAACATTCTCTATCGTATTTATAAATGTGAAATCTGTTGTCATCCACAATTGAGCAGAGTGATTCCACATCCACTTTGAAAAAATTGCTGTGGTCATGACCACAGTGAATAAAAGTAGACATTCAAAATAAGTTCACTTTCTAAAATCTAAGTCACTTGAAAATATAGACAGTTTTTCTAAACCACTCTTAGGGTAAAAACCAAAGCTTGAAATAACAGAAAGTAAAGACAGTGAGAACATCATGTCAAGTTTAACAAACTAGTTTACAAAGTTAACCAGAGAACAGAGAATTAGTGACAACAGGCAATAAATGATGATTCCCAACTGATTATTAATCCACAGTACTAATAATAATAACTAAAACATATGGTACTGCCAGCCAAACAGACAAAAGAGAATGGAGTCTTGAATCAGGATGGATATGTACACCCACATGCATGTGCTTCCATGCGCTTGCGCGTGCACACACACCCCCACACACCCACTCTCTCTCTCTACTTTTTTTTTTTTTTAAGACAGAGTCTCACTCTGTCGCCCAGGCTGCAGTGCAGTGGCATAATTTTGACCCACTTAAACCTCTGCCTCCTGGGTTCAAGCAATTCTCCTGCCTGCGCCTCCCAAGTACCTAGGATTACTGGCCTGTGCCACCATGCTTGGCTAATTTTTTTTTATTTTTAGCAGAGACAGGGTTTCACTATGTTGGCCAGGTTACTGTCAAACACCTGACCTCAAGTGATCCGCCCACCTTCGCCTCCCAAACTGCTGTTATTACAGGAGTGAGCCACTGTGCCTGGCCACACACACACTTTTAATATTATTGACTAAAAAGCAAACAATCTAGTTTGCACAAATGTTGCTTGAAAGATGGCTTCTATAGACCACAGAGATGGGGACATGAAAACAGAGTTGACAACAGGGTAAAGAGGAGCAGCAAAGTCACTTCTGCAAACACTTGTCAAGACATGTTAGTACTGAGTTGACTAATACGTCTCGACAAGAGTCTGCAGATGTGATTTTGCTGCCCTTCTTTTTCCTGTTCCTTACACCAAGGAACACAAGACATATATATGCACACTGAGTTTAATAAGGGTATCATTTATTATAGAAAAATACCGCCTTTAAACTGAAAACCTGCAATCTCATAAAGTGTACAGATTTGGTTAGCACTGAAGCAAAGGTCCCTCCAGTGCTGACTGACTGAATGAAATACAGATTGGGAAGGACAAGAGTGGCTGAGCATTGTCACAAACTGCATGATTTTGCTTCTTCATAGGTGTTTTGAGTTTATTTTATGAGCTCCAATAAGCCATGGAAAACAAATGCTGATATCTCTTTTACACCAGTTGGGAAACCACAAGTAACATTTACTTCGGGGACACCAAGACTCAAATCAAGAGGGCTTTTCAGACTCTCTTAATCCATGTTAAAAATGAAGTAACAGTATCAGTGTGCAGATAGGCCAACAAGCCCAGATACCGCTGCTCTGTCACAGATGCAGCAGATGGCTATTATAACACTTTTATTCTTTCAGGGAGAACACTATCCATAATTTCACTACAGTATTTTAGTAGTAAAGACAGAAAACAAACATCTCATCTGTTAAAAATAAAACTTTAACTAGAGTAGAAAATCCATGAGTTTAAAGTACAAAATATCCTCCAATGTGGGGGTCTGACGTTTTGAGAAGCTGAAACTTATCTCCACCTACATTAACCATATTCCCATGTGATTTCCTATTCTCAAAAGACAATTTTTGAGACAGTGGCTAACATACGTAATCCCACTACTTTGGGAGCCAGAGGCAGGCGGATCACAAGGTCAGGAGTTTGAGACCATTCTGGCCAACATGGTGAAACCCCGTCTCTACTAAAGACACAACAACTTAGTCGGGCATGGTGGCGTGTGCCTGTGATGTCAGCTACTTGGAGGCTGAGGCAGAAGAATCGGTTGAACCCAGGAGGCAGAGGTTGCAGTGAGCTGAGATCATATCACTGCATTCCAGCCTGGGCAACAGGGCAACACTCTGTCTAAAATTAAAAAAACAAATAAAAAGACAATCTTCTAAATTTTCACCATGAATACGCAGAATATATTCAAGCCAACGAAATAAGAAAACCCTAACAGAAAACAGTCCGAACATTTTTTTTTTTTTAATTTATTTTATCTGAGACAGGGTCTCTCACTCTGTTGCCCAGGCTGGAGTACAGTGGCACAATCATAGCTCACTGTAGCCTCGAACTCCTGGGCCCAAGCGATCCTCCCGCCTCAGCCTCCAGAGTAGCTGGGACTACAGGCACATGCCACCATGTCCAGCTAGTTTTTTATTTCCTGTAGAGATGAGATCTTGCTATATTGCCCAGATTGGCCTCAAATTCCTGGCCTTGAGTGATCTTCCAGCCTTGGCCTCCTGAAGGGCTGCAATTTCAAGTGTGAGCCACCACACCCAGCCCAGAAAACAGTTCATGTTAGAAGAATCTAAAGTGTGCTACAATGAAAAATGAAAGACTAATGCATCAGCTCATCTGATGATTTGATTAACATCTTAATTAGAGACTTTACATACTCCATTAAGGTTATTGTTTGTAATGAGAATATCTGAGTTAAATAAGTTTTTCATAAAGTTTCTGAATGAGCAACAAACCAAGATATTTGTCTTGTTGTTTGTTTGTTTTGAGACACAGTCTTGCTTTGTTACCCAGGCTGGAGTGCAACGGCACAACCTCGGCTCACTGCAACCTCTGCCTCCTGGGTTCAAGCAATTCTCCTTCCTCAGCCTCCCAGCTGGGATTACAGGCATGTGCCACCATACCTGGCTAATTTTTTTGTGTTTTTAGTAGAGACGGAGTTTCACCATGTTGGCCAGCCTGGTCTCAAACTCCTGACCTCAGGCAATTTACCTACCTCGGCCTCCCAAACTGCTGGGATTACAGGCATGAGCCACCACGCCCAGCCTTGATATGTGTCTTGTTTTAGTCTTCTTTCTCAGCTAAAAAATTTAATAATTACATTGCATTTTAGCCTTTTTTAACTTAATAGCAAGAACTATATTCATTCTGAAATCATGTGGCCCATGGCTTTTCATGAGAAGTCAGGACAGCTGCAGCATGCCACCAAAACTAAGGAGAGAGAAAGGAAAGACAAGGATGGGAGCTAAGAATGAATAACCCGGCCGGGCGCGGTGGCTCAAGCCTGTAATCCCAGCACTTTGGGAGGCCGAGGCGGGTGGATCACGAGGTCGAGAGATCAAGACCATCCTGGTCAACATGGTGAAACCCCGTCTTTATTAAAAATACAAAAAATTAGCTGGGCATGGTGGCACGTGCCTGTAATCCCAGCTACTCAGGAGGCTGAGGCAGGAGAATTGCCTGAACCCAGGAGGCGGAGGTTGCGGTGAGCCGAGATCGCGCCATTGCACTCCAGCCTGGGTAACAAGAGCGAAACTCCGTCTCAAAAAAAAAAAAAAAGAATGAATAACCCATATAGGGTACAGAGAAATGCCCAGGGGCTTCGAGTAGCTGCTCTATGAGAACAGCAGAAAGTAAAACAATGAAAAGCAGCTTCAACTCGTACTTGATTGAAGTCTGGATCTTTTTCTCCATCTGGTTTAGCTTCTTCCTTGTCCTCCTCTGTTTCAGAACTACTCACGTTCAGCTCTGGAGCCGAATCCTTCATCACCTGAATGTGCCAGGACAACAAAGAGAAGTAGGTCAGACCCTAGGAAGGCATGCTATGGAGGATGTGGGGGCTGGGACAGGCAACCTTTATCAAGGGTAGGAATGCTTTTAACATGGTAGGACTATAGACTGGAGAGCAGATGAAGAATTAAGCCTTCTTGGTATTCTATGCTCTTTAAACATGTTAGTTTTTTTACCCTATTTCTTATTCTTGTAGTATTTAAAGTGTTCAACATACATTTAAGAAGTCTCTGCAGAGCAGTTATTATTATCAATCTTGTACAATGATGTTAACTTTACAGAAGTTTGAAGGTGCCTGACACCTTCCCGAGCATACTGATTGCCAAGCCTTTTCAAGTTCTCAAACTATTCAGGTGGCAGGAGTCGTATGCTCTTTAAGAACTGAGAAAATGGCCAGACGCGGTGGCTCAAGCCTGTAATCCCAGCACTTTGGGAGGCCGAGGCGGGTGGATCACGAGGTCAAGAGATCGAGACCATCCTGGTCAACATGGTGAAACCCCGTCTCTACTAAAAATACAAAACATTAGCTGTGCGTGGTGGCGCGTGCCTTAATCCCAGCTACTCAGGAGGCTGAGGCAGGAGAATTGCCTGAACCCAGGAGGCGGAGGTTGCGGTGAGCCAAGATCGCACCATTGCACTCCAGCCTGGGTAACAAAAGCAAAACTCCGTCCCCCCCAAAAAAAAAAGAATTGAGAAAATGAAAGAAAGAAGAAGTGATCCCTTGCAGAACACTATGAAATACTGCTATTAAACTACAATGAAACTTTAGCTAATTTGAATAGTATTTTATGATAGAGAACAAAAGATTTAAGAAAATTCTAGAGAGAGAAACAGAGACATTTATACTCATTAACTTCATTTTCTCAGCAAATTAGGTAATGAAGGCCTTAGTTTATTTGACTTGTAAAGCAGAACCCTCGGCCTCCAGAGCATAATTTGTAAGTTACTCTTCTAAACAATGTGTTTGAAAACCAACATCAAATTAAATGTATTCCATTTTGTCTTTAATCCCAAAACCATGGAATTAAATTATTAAACTATCTAGAGATCTGGGTCAGGATCTACCCAAGAGCCATCCCTAATATAATAAAAATGCTTGGAAATCCAATCCAAGCAAGTATTAACACCCTTACTTCCTAAATACATCCAGTTGATTTCACCTATCCTTGCAGGTCAGTGCAAGAGGCTCTAACTGGCCTCTCTTATTCCCATTAGGCCCTCACAGCAATTCCAAACACTATAGCCAGGGTGACTTCTTTTAAACTATAAATCAGATCATATCATGGCCTTGATTGAAACTCTCCAGGGGCTTATACCTACACTGGGAATAAAACCAAATCCTTGGTATGATGTATAAAACCTAAAAGAGTATGGGTCGCTCATTCCATATCATGATACCTTCTTGGAAAAAACTTTATTCTAGACCAGCAATAGCCACTCTAGGGTAACCATTAGCCATATATAGCTATTTAACTTCAAATCAACTAAAACTGAATTCTTCAGTCACACGAGCTACGTCAAACACTCCACAGCCACACATGGCCAGTGACTACTGCAGTGTGCAGCACAGATACAGAACCTAGAATCTGTTGATTGCCACGGAAAGCTCTATTGGACAACACTGTTTCAGGTGCAATGGTTTTCAGTCTGCTGCATAAGCACAACAGGCTTATCCTTTTGACCTTTGCATTCTTTGCCTGGAACACACTTCCCAGGCTGCATCTCTGACAGTTAGGGGCTTAGGTAAACACAACTACTTCTCCAAGCCTCCTCTCCTGTCCCCCTATCTAACACTAACTTCCACTTTAACCTGCTAAACTTCCTTCAAAACAATCATTTCTGTGTGAAATCATATGAATTTACAGTTTATTCCTGATCTTCCTCACTAGGTACCTATAATTTTGAGAGCAGGTATTATACCTGCCTTCTTTATCATTGTTACCTCCAGCACTGGGACCATTCCTGGCACACAGCTGACATTCAATAAATATCTATGTATCAATTATTAACAGACTAAATATGATCACACAACTGTTCATTTTCAATTGTTGTCCAATTTCAATTCTGATGCCAAACCATTCTGAAGGAAGAAAAATGCAGTTGTAGGCAGACCCTTAGTGCAAATACAAGAGCAAATCAAGTCAGAGCATGCTTGATCATTACTAGTCATCACCACAAGAGGGACCAGTACCTTTTTATTATCCACAACTTTATGGACATAGATGGTGGCTTGAGTGTACTCACGCAGGTCCCTCTGCTGCTGGCACAGTAAGCCTTCTCTGCATTCTGGACAGAGTTCTTTGGAAAAAACAAAAAGGGAAAACAGAAGTGGCTGAGGAATCACTGTTAAAGAATCAAAGATCTAAGAACATATATCTTCTAATCTTGTGGCTAAGAAAAAAAAGAAAAAAAAAACATATATCAAAGTTACTAGTGTATATTCATTAAACTCTTTTTTTTTTTTTTTTGAGATGGAGTTTCACTCTTGTTACCCAGGCTGGAGTGCAATGGCGCGATCTTGGCTCACCGCAACCTCCGCCTCCTGGGTTCAGGCAATTCTCCTGCCTCAGCCTCCTGAGTAGCTGGGATTACAGGCACGTGCCACCATGCCCAGCTAAGTTTTTGTATTTTTAGTAGAGACGAGGTTTCACCATGTTGACCAGGATGGTCTCCATCTCTTGACCTCGTGATCCACCCGCCTCGGCCTCCCAAAGTGCTGGGATTACAGGCTTGAGCCACAGCGCCCGGCTCATTAAACTCTTAATAACATTTCTTTTTTTTGAGACGAGGTCTTGGTGTGTCAACCAGGCTGGGGTGCAGTGGTATAATCATAGCTCACTGTAGCCTCAAACTTCTGGGCTCAAGCTGTCCTACAGACTCAGCCTCCCAGCAAGTAGCTCAGATTACAGATGTGTGCTACATTTTTATTATTTTGTAGAGATGGGGTCTTGCTCAGGCTGGTCTCAAACTCCTGGCCTTAAGCAATCCTTCCACCTCAGTCTCTCAAAGTATTAGGATCATAGGTATGAGCTAGTGTGGTGGCCCAAATTATTAATTATATTTTCAATTAACTGTTATATTCTATTACATGCAAATGATAAGGAAATCACTTTATTGTTCATAAATAAACATACAAATAATGAGATGATCATAAAAGAATTTCAACCTAGGGAGTTTGGACCACCACATGATCTTTAACTTTAAAGCAGACAACACTGACATACCCTTTCTTCTTAAAATGGCAGCTCTTAACTATAGAAACCAAAAGCAATATGAAAACTTACTAGGCTCAGAAATATACTGTGTTTCTGAAGGATTTACATCTCCCACTTCAATTCTTGTGATTTTAATTACATGATCCACAACAAAGAGCTTTTGTATCATTTGCCACTCGCTGGGCCATATGAGAGCTATACTGTGCAAAAAAACACAACATGCCTTAAGACACATGGAGATTAAGAGAAATAACATAATACATTACTCTACTAGACCATAACCATCAACACTAATATTTAATCAAAAGGAATTAGAGGGAAAAGATACATATCATGAAGAATAGTTTTTCATACAAAGGAATGTTACCACAGCAACAAAACTAAATGAACTGGAATTACACGAATCAACATGGTTAGATCTCAAAAACATAATTGAGTAAAATAAGTTAGTTGCAGAAGCATAAATACAGTATGATGCCATTTATATAAAAAGTTTTAAATATGCAAGACATTATGTGCTTTTTTTTTTTTTTAAGGAATACTTTCCGAGACAGATAAATTTTAAATTCAGGACAGTGGCTATTGTGAGAGGAAGAGAGGGATAAAGAGAGAGAAGCAGACACAGAAGGATAAGCACTGAGGGGTCTTTGATCATATCTCAACCATTTAACTTTTAAACTGGTAACGCACATTTGTTTATTGGTATAGATATTTTCCCGAAAGTCTGACATTTGCAACAATAACAATGACAGGAAGAAAGGGAGGGAGTGAAGAGAGTGAGAGAGCAACAGGAAAGGAGGGGAGCAGAGAGGGAGAAAGAGGTAGGTAGAAAACGTGGAAGAACAGATGAACTCTGAACTCCCTTAAATGATGTTAAAGTACTAAAATATGAATAATAAAACTCTAGCTGAACCCCAAAGGCATTTTTATTTATGTCTTTCAATTTCCTTTTCCTGATTTTCTGACAATGTTGGAGGTATTCTACATTCTCTTATATAATTATTTTTGGCAACATCAAGGGAGAAATTCACAGATGAACAAACACCTCTAAAAGTACTTAAAGCATGGAATAAAATTTTGGTTCTAAGACCCTAGGATTCCAGATGACCAGTGCAGTGGCTTTGCTCTGCCACCCTGCTATCCTCCTCTAATTGTCTGACGACTGGCAGCTGCAGGAAAAAACCTACAACCAAGACCATGTTGATTCTGTGATTCTGGAAAAGAAGTCACAGTGCTGGTCACCAGCAGGGGGAAGGTGGGAGAAGAAAGGGTGGCTGTGTTGTCTCCAAGAGGGACAAGGAATGAGCAAAAAGACAAATGGCCTCAGGTGGTCTCTTGTCTTTCCTGGAGAAGTAGTCTTTTTCTTTTAAAAGGGGGGGAAAAAACCCCACAATTCAGCAAAGGACTAAATTCTTAAAATAGACTATGTTAGATGAGAAATTTCCTAAACATACTTTATTAATCATCAAAAAGTTTAGAAAGAAAAAAAAAAAAATCACATGAAGAGAAGGAACTCACAGTTTAGAATCTTCTTTGGTCATGGAAGCAAATGTAAACATGAGGCCCCCATGGGGACACAAAAGAGCGCTGTTCCCAACAGATGACACAGGGCTGCACCTTGCAGGCTTTCTACTCAAATGAGACAAGGAGGAGAAATATACCTAATTACTGCATGATGAAAGAGAAGATTTTAAATAATTATTTCAAAATCAGAGATATATCTAAGAAAATATTAGTAATTACATGTCTTTCTTAGGACTATTCACTTAATAGAAAAGAAAGCTTTCAGTGTGTGCTGGTGAAAGTAACTATGAAGGGTACCACAAACAGAATCCACAAAATCTTAAAAAAATACCAGTCAACCAAACAATAACAACAATAAAGGAAATAAAACATGTTTTGTTTCTACCTAACAAATTTCCGCCACTCTTCTACAAAGAACTGAGACACGATATAGAGGACATCTGTATCCTAGAACACAAAAATCACAAAACAGTATCCGTCAATTCACCGCCTTCTTAACACAAATTCTTTATAATATACTTTGGTTATCCTTATTCAAGTTTTATAAATAAAGTGAAAACACAGTCCTCTACCAAAAAATAGCAGGCTGGAGTAAATCCCCTGGTTAGATAACTAAACAAACGAGAATATGAGAAGTTCTGGGTTGTTCTGAAATAGCTCATTGGGAACTTGGCAAGGGGCTTAAAAAGAAAAGATGCATTCTTTCCTTTGTGGGAATCATTATACCTCTGGCCAGTTACTGAGACACGGTCTGTTTTTATCCTGGAACAAATTTGGGAGAGAAGTCTTTTGCTCGTTTGCAATCATCTTATGTAAGGCTTCATTTTCTTCCCCTTCTCTTTCTAAAATCTGAAAGAGAATGAAGCAATCAACTGTCTCCTGCTGACAGCACATGACTTGCCTCCTCCCTACACCCCCGGCAGAAGTTGAATTCCCCTGGGAAGTCAACCCAGGGAGCTGTCAAGCCATTTTCCCAGATGTCAGCAGCATTCAGTACCTTGCACTGTGAACAGCACTCTTTGTAACTTGGAAACTCAGGAGCCTTTGGAAAGTACTGCTGCAGTTTGCTCCAAGCCTCTTTAGAAACAAGCCTTCTTTCATTTTCAGATATGCATAACTCACCTGAATTAAAAATAAGACATATATTTAAGAAAAAACAGTTGGAAAAAAGTCATTAACTATTTCCTATTTCTTAAACTTAATGAAAATCCATAGGTGTTCATTTCTTGCTTTGCTAAAAGTGTTGTATTTCTCGCTCTGTTTTCAAAAATTTGTGAATTTCCAATTTCATTTTATTACTAAAGGAGGTAGCTATTAACCTCAATTTTATGTCCTGAATCTAGGTCTGTGGTCAAAAAAAAAAAAAAAAAAAAAAAAATCACGAGATAAAAAGAAATGTACAAAGCTAAAACCGTGCATTTTCTATCTTTCTCTCTGCAAGGGAGGAAGTAGCCAAAAATGGGATTCCAGGAGTCCTGGGACCTCTGTGTCAAAGCAGGAGCTGCTTAACAAAATTATACCTATCCCACACTCAAAGGTTATCATTTCCTACAGACTTTATTGTCTCCCATTTGACTAATCTTGAAATCATACTGCATTAAAATATTTTAAATCTGTGCCCAGCCATCACAGGACCATTGTTATCAATTCAAATAGAAGATAAAGCAATCTAATGTTCAATCTGAAAACCATCTCCAGTCAAGCAACAACTTGTTTGCAATTTGTTTTGAAGATCCCCTTCAATCTTCAAAAATCCCAGAAGACAATAGAAATAATGCTAGTCACTGCCACTCTTCCAGGGCCTTTCTCCTCTGGTGCCACTTGCGGTTATATTTACTATAGTTACAGCTGTTTCTAAGTGATAAATTAGTGAACTTCACTTATCTACCCGTATCAGTCATTACCCAGAAAACAATCTAAATTTCTCAAGTTATGTTTGTTTCTGTGCCCATTAGCAAAGTACCTACAGATTTATTAAGAGTAATAAGCCAGGGGCTTTCTAAATATGTCCTACACTTTACATAATAAATGCATTTAGAAAAATGAATATAACCAGGGAGAGTAAAACTAGCAAGTAATAAAGCTGGGATACAAAACCAGGTCTATAGGCCAGGCACAGTGGCTTGCTCCTATAATCCCAGAACTTTGGGAGGCCAAGGCAGGTGGATCACTTGTTAGGACTTTGAGACCAGCCTGGCCAACATGATGAAACCCTGTCTCTACTAAAAACACCAAAATTAGTCACATATGGTGGTGCTTGCCTGTAATCCCAGCTACTAGGGACACTGAGGCAGGAGGATCACTTCAGTCTGGGATGCAGAGGTGCAGTGAGCCAAGATAAGCACCACTACACTTCAGCCTGGGGGCCACAGAGAGAGACTTCATCTCAAAAAACAAAAACAAAAACAAAACAGATCTCAGGCTGGGCATGGTGGTTCACGCCTGTAATCCCAGCACTTTGGGAGGCTGAGGTGAGCAGATCACGAGGTCAGGAGTTCGAGACCAGCCTGGCTAGCATGGTGAAACTCTATCTTTACCAAAGACACAAAAATTAGCTGGGCATGGAGGAAGGTGCCTGTAATCCCAGCTAGTCGGGAGGCTGAGGCAGGAGAAGTGCTTGAACCTGGGAAGTAGAGGTTGCAGTGAGCCAAGATCCTGCCATTGTACTCCAGCCTGGGTGACAAGAGCATGACTCCATCTAAGGAAAACACACACACACACACCACCACCACCACCACCACCACCACCACCAACAACAACAACAACAACAACAACAACAACAAACCCAGGTCTATAGCTCATTTGAACCCCACAAGATACTTTAAAAAAAAATTTTTTTTAATTTATTAGAAAATAGAGTCTCATTCTGTTGCCCAGGCTGGAGTGCAGTGGCATGATGCCAGCCTCAACCTCCTGGGCTCAAGCAATCTTCCTGCCTTAGCCTCCTGAGTAGCTGGGATAACAGGCTCATATCAGCCACCATGCCTGGCTAATATTTTATTTTTATTTTGTAGAGAGGGAGTCTCTCGAACTTCTGGTTTTATGCAATCCTCCCTCCTTAGCCTCCAAAAATGCTGGAATTATAAGCATAACCCACTGTTCCACGGTCCCAATAATTTGTAAAACCTCAAAATGCAACTGAACTTCTACCCCTCACATCTTCTGGAGCTTTGAATAATCCTCAAAGGATTATTTTGCTTTAATAAACTTGTTACTAGAGAAATGAGGTCACAATGTAAACATGTATTTGCTTTCTGGGTAGACTGTTATTTAAATTTCCCATGAGTCTATGAAAACTTATTCTAACATACCATACCCATCCTCAGACACAACTAGGGAATTTATTTTTTAAAAATGAAAGAAAAAGTTAATTGGATTATCAAACCTTAATTTATTAAGGCCTTATGGTGAAATACAATGTAACCATAAAAAAGATTAAGGTAAATTTCCATGACCTAATTTTGAAAGAAGTCTATGGCAACTATAATATTTAAATGATTGCCGTTTTATGCTTTAAAAAAAAAAAAAAAGATTGTTTGTGTGTGGTGTAACCCCATTCGGCTTTGAGGAAACAGTAATGCAAACACACACTCATACTTTACTATGCAATGAACAGAGGAGACCCAGCCATTGTGGCTACATGGTTCATTTTCATGTGGGGGAACTTTTAGGTAGTGACTGGCTTTTATGTGGGATAAGCGTTTCTCATATGATTAGGAAAGAACAACCCAAATTCATTTCTGAAATCCGAATAATATTAGTCATTTTACTATAGTCTAGTTGATCATAAATATAGTCCTTCATTTTTTTTTCTTCTTCTTCTTTTTTTTTTTTTTGAGACGGAGTTTCGCTCTTGTTACCCAGGCTGGAGTGCAATGGCACGATCTCAGCTCACCGCAACCTCCGCCTCCGGAGGTTCAGGCAATTCTCCTGCCTCAGCCTCCTGAGTAGCTGGGATTACAGGCACGTGCCACCACGCCCAGCTAAGTTTTTGTATTTTTAGTATTCAGACGGGGTTTCACTATGTTGACCGGGATGGTCTCGATCTCTTGACCTCGTGATCCACCCGCCTCGGCCTCCCAAAGTGCTGGGATTACAGGCTTGAGCCACCGTACCTGGCTGCCATAGTCCTTTTCATTTTACTTCTTAGCTGAGTTTCTAAATTTAATTTCCCATCATTCTAAAAATTATTACCATAGTAGTTAATATATCATTACTATTTGCTGATATTAATGTAATTAATGACAATGAAATAAATATACTTGAATATTGTCTATGACCTCAAAACAGTTAATTAAATTTGGGTTGTTCTTTTCACTGTGACATATAAATTGTTAGAAATTAAACTTGTATCCTGCAATGAATAATGTTATTTCTTAAATTTTAAGAGGAAGCCAATCAACTATATCCATTCTATGAGCAATACCTCCCAAAACAAGATCAAACCAGTCAAGAGAGATTCAATTCACTAAATCCAAAGATTCTTTTGCTATAAAGAGAAATCTAGTTAACAATGAATTCAGAATCTGGATAAATGACCCTCAACCCCTCACCCTAAATCTAGCTCAAACTGTATATAAGAATTTGGACCTCAGGACAGCTCAAGAAGTACTGTACTTTCAAAATAATAAAACAAAACACAGTCATCATCAAGCAAACTAGGTGTAATAAACAAGATATACAAGGTAACACTTAAAAAATACAAAGTATTTATAAGTACAAAATACAAAGTATTTTGTTACAAAGTAACAAAAGCATCACTTAAAGGAATACAAAGTAAAATGGATAAGAAAGCTTGATACATATACTATCTATATTATAAAGCTTGGTATCTGCAGCAAATACTGAACTCTACAATAGTAAATCTTCCAATGGAATATAATTCAATAATTAATTCACACAAAATCTGCGATATATCAACTACATACAAGACTTTAGAAACATCATTAAATCACATCACATTAAACATCATTAAATCACAATAAAGAATTTTTTTAAAAAACTTTTATTTTTAGAGATAGGATCTCACTCACTCTGTCACCCAGGCTAAAGTGCAGTGGTGTGATCATAGCTCACTGTAATCATAGTCTCCTGGGCTCAAGCAATGCTCCTGCCTCAGCTTCTTGAGCATCTAGGAATACAGGCGCATTCCACTTTGCCTAGCTAATTTTTATTTTATTTTTTAAATAGAGATGGGTCTCACTATGTTGCCCAGGCTGCTCTCAAATGCCTCAACCTCTTAAAGTGCTGAGATTAAAGATGTGAACCACCACACCAACGGAGTCATTAACAACAAAAAAAGACATATAGCTACAATGATGAAGAAAATAGAAGGAACAACAGGGATAAAAATTACAAGGGTTTCAAAGAAGGTGAATGCGACACAATTTAAAAAAACTAACTCTAAGCCGGGCGCGGTGGCTCAAGCCTGTAATCCCAGCACTTTGGGAGGCCAAGGCGGGTGGATCACGAGGTCAAGAGATCGAGACCATCCTGGTCAACATGGTGAAACCCCGTCTCTACTAAAAATACAAAAAATTAGCTGGGCATGGTGGCGCGTGCCTGTAGTCCCAGCTACTCGGGAGGCTGAGGCAGGAGAATTGCCTGAGCCCAGGAGGCGGAGGCTGCGGTGAGCCGAGATCGCGCCATTGCACTCCAGCCCGGGTAACAAGAGCAAAACTCCGTCTCAAAGAAAAAAAAAAAAAAAAAAAAAAAACTAACTCTAAGTTGGCAAAAGTCAAGACGTAGCCAGATTTACTACAATGCAGAACTGTCTCCACAGACCCAAGAATTGGGGGCTCGTGAAGTAAAGGTAGGGATTTATTAAAATGAGAGAAGGGGGCCAGGCGTGGTGGCTCAAGCCTGTAATCCCAGCACTTTGGGAGGCCGAAGGCGGGTGGATCATCATGAGGTCAAGAGATAGAGACCACCCTGGTCAACATGGTGAAACCCTGTCTCTACTAAAAAATACAAAAAATTAGCTGGGCATGATGGTGGGTGCCTGTAATCCCAGCTACTCAGGAGGCTGAGACAGGAGAATTGCCTGAACCCAGGAGGCGGAGGTTGCGGTGAGCCGAGATTGTGAGATCGTGCCATTGCACTCCAGCCTGGGCAACAAGAGTGAAACTCCGTCTTAAAAAAAAAAAAAAAAAAAAAAACTAAACTAAAATGAGAGAAGGGATGGAAAGTCTATTTAAGAGGTACGTAGTCAGATGCTCAGTCCCCTTCTCTGCCCTTGAGATCACTGTCCCCTCTAGCCACAAAGGACTACATGCTTATTCTTGGACAACAAAACCTAAGGCCCCTGCACAGGGGACACAAAACGCAGAGACGAATGAGGTGACAAGCTGAGACAGGGATAATTAAACCTTTCCACTACTGAATGCAGGAACTCTTAAGTCCTCTTCTCTCCACATCTTCAGAAGAGTGATAGCAGGTCTGAATTTTCCAGGCAGGCAAACGAAAGATGCTTACGGAAAAACCTTAGTGGCCCAATAGCAGACACTGCCACTGGAATTTCCCAGTGAAACATGCTGGCCAGGGCAGCAAACTAGTGAAGCTGTCACCAAGACCCTCCAAGACACACTTGGCTTCCACAGAGTGCCTAGCATAATAAATGAACCCATACAACACTGGGGACAAAGATCTTACAAGTCTACCAGAAACTGAAGTGGAGAAAAATTACCTATAAACAATGGCTTTGGACTTTTGAATGGTACACCCAGAGCAGTACTACAAAAGTCTCTCAAATGTTCACAGAAAAAATATTTCCAACAGACAATTAAAAACCTAGGAAAAACTATCCATTCAGTGTGGTGATCAAGACAGGTGACTCTTGCCTTTCCATGCCTCAGTTTACTTACTCATCAGTACAATCAATGTGATAATATACCAAGTGTCCTCAAACTTTTTACACAGGGGGGCCAGTTCACTGTCCCTCAGACCGTTGGAGGGCCACCACATACTGTGTTCCTCTCACTGACCACCAATGAAAGAGGTGCCCCTTCCTGAAGTGCGGCGGGGGGCTGGATAAATGGCCTCAGGGGGTCGCAGTTTGGGGACGCCTGTAATATACTGATAACACAGGGTTGTTACAAGATTAAGTGAGTTGGCCAGGCACTATGGCTCATGCCTGTAATTCCAGCACTTTGGGAGGCTGAGGCAAGCAGATCAGCTGAGGTTAAGAGTTCAAGACCAGTTTGGACAACATCTCTACTAACCATCTCTACTAAAAACACAACCATCTCTACTAAAAATACAAAAATTAACTAGGAGTGGTGGCGCACAACTGTAGTCCCAGCTACTTGGGAGGCTAAAGCAGAAGAATCAGTTGAACTCAGGAGGTGGAGGTTGGAGTGAGCTGAGATATTGCACCACTGCATTCCAGCTGGGCGACAGAGTGAGACTCCATCTCAAAAAAAAAGATTAAGTGAGTTAATATTTATAAATGCAGAAAACTAAAGGCAAATGGTAAACATTCCGTAATTGTCCACTATAATCCTCCTCCTACCAACATCATCAGTACACCTCCAGAAAGAGGTTTTAATATAAGCACTTTAGTAAGTAAAGTGAATTTCTTAAGTAAGGCAAGGTATCCTAAACTAGAAAAATTTCATCCTGGACACATGGTACACTGACAGATAATGTAACACAAAAACAAAGGTAGAAAACTATCCTTTAAAATTAAACTAGAGAACAAAGTATGGCATCAAAGCACTAGAGTTACAGATCAAGACAACGGCCTACAAAAATAACAGCCCTTGGATACAATTTATTTCCTTCTTTCCTTCTTCCTTTCTCTGCCTTTCTCCCTCTCTTTTCCTTCCTCCATTTCCTTCCTTCCCTCCCTCTCTTTCCCTTCTTCCTTCCCTTCTCTCTCTCTTCCTTTCTCTCTCTCTCGCTCTTTCTCCCTTTCTTTTTCTTTAATTTTATTTTGAGACAACGTCTTGCTCTGTCACACAGGCTGAAAGCACAGCGGCATGCAAATATGGCTCACTGCAGCCTCAACCTCCTGAGCTCAGGTAACCTTGTCAATGCAGTCTCTCATGTAGCTGGGACCACAGGTGCACAGCATCACCACTCCAGGCTAATTTCTTGATATTTTTGTAGAGATGGGGGTCTTGCCATGACGGCCAAGCTAGTCTCAAATTCCTGGACTCAAGTGACCCTCCCACCTTGGCTTCCCAAAGTGCTGGGATTAAAGGTGTGAGCCACCGTACCTGGCCTGTTATGTACAATTTCTGACAGGGTGGAGAGTACAGCATGTGTCCTGAAATGACATTCAGCTTTGCCATGCTTTGTGGTCAAAACTGTCAGTACTGAAATAACGTGGTCAGAGGTGGGCCGGAAGAGTAAAGGTTAGTGAGCTGAGGAGCATGAAGACAATCTAAGTTCCAGCACTGTTTTAACCAGTTGGTAGCACCAAGCATGAAACAGTATTTTGCCACAGATGCTTCAACTGTCAATGTGGAGGCACTGATCTGTGCTGTGAAGGTTAGAAAAGGTGATATGTGAGCGTCACTAAAAACGACACCTCCTTTTAGCTATTCACCCAAACTTTCTTCCCCTGTTCATTTCCTCATGCTATTCAGCACTCACAAGGTCAGCTCACCTTCTCCTGCTGTGTACCTGTAGTGTAAAAGGTCAACTGGTAGACAGGGTGATATGACAGAAAAGAACAGAGGAACTGGGGATCCACAGAGACCAAGACCCAAAGGTACACTCCACTGTAGCCCCTTCCTAGTTGTGTGGCCTATAAATGGGAATGCCACTTACCTAGCAAGCTACAGTGCAGTGAGATAATCCAGAATGCAAGTACCACTCTAGTGACAATCATCACTAGTGTCATCAAGGGCACTTCATATAAAAGTGTTACTGTGGGCTAGGTGCGGTGGTTCACACCTGTAATCCCAGCACTTTGGGAGGTCAAGGCAGGCAGATCACGAAGTCAGTTCAGGACCAGCCTAACCAACATGGTGAAACCCAGTCTCTTCTAAAAAATACAAAAAATTAGCTGGCTGTGGTCATGCATGCCTGTAATCCCAGCTACTCAGGAGGCTGAGGCAGGAGAATCACTTAAACCCAGGAGGCAGAGGTTGCAGAGAGATGAGATCACGCCATTGCACTCCAGCCTGGGCAACAAGAGTGAAACTCCAGCTTTAAAAAAAAAAAAAAAAAAAAAAAAAAGTGCTTGTGTACATCAGGGATAAGAATGAGACATCATCCATCCACTGGCTCATACTGAACTGATGAAAGAACTAAAATTATAAATTTATTAGGATCAACAGGAATCCCAAATATTAGCAGTAAATTAGCACATAACAAGAAATACATGAACATGGGTTAACAAAATGAACCACTGACAAGTCAACTTTACTGTGTCATATTTATTGTCCTATTGATTTTATTTTAAAGAGATGCGTACCGCACTCCTGTCCAGGCTAGAGTGCAGGGGGGTCATCATAGCTCCCTCTAGCCTCAAATTTGTGGCTCAAGTGATCCTCTCACATGACCCTCCTGAGAAATTGGGACTGCAGGTACATACCACCAAGCCCACTTAATATTTTTTAAGAAACAGGGTCTTACTATGTTGCCCAGACTGGTCTCAAAATCATGGGCTCAACCAACCCTTCTACCTAAGCCTCCCTAGTAGCTGGGATTATAGGTGCAAGCTATGGCACTCAGTGCTCAGATTTTTTGAAGGTGAGAAGGGGAACTTATTAAGTAGAAAGCTTTGAGAAAGAGACATCTGCTTGACTTTCAGAGTGCTATTAGAATAGAAAACTGTGTCCAATATATGAATCCCTTGTACAATCATCTTGTAAAAGCTACTTATTAAAAGCATTCACCAAGAACAAGCAAAAAAACACATGAATACATAGGATTAAATAAGGATTTAGAATTTAGTATGTTAAGACTATCTAGCACATAGTACTCAGCAGCTGGTCAATACACAAACAAGAAACAAAACCAGGCGGAGCCCCAGTGGCTCATGCCTATAATCCCACCACTTTGGGAGACAAAGGTGGGAAGCAATTTAAAAATTAGCTGGGTGTGACAGCGAATGCCTATGGTTCCAGCTACTCAGGAGCCCAAAGCAGGAGGCTCAGCTGAGCCCAGGAGGTTGAGGCTACACTAAGGACAGTGACAGAGCGAGATTTTGTTGCACAGATAAAAAAATAATAATAAAATAAATTAAAAAACCACAGATAGCTCTAAGAAGATGAAGAAGAAACATACAGGCACTATTTTCAAAGTGTTTAACTTGGACAATGACAGTTACGGGAAATAACTGAAATTCATTAAGTCAAATTCAAAAGTATTTCAATAGGACAAGTGAGAAGAAGTTTTTTCTCCAAAGATTTCCTCTAAATATGGGGAAACTGTATTTGAAAAAACTTCTTTCCCAGGTAAGATGTGAGAGACACTGGCATGAAAGCCAGGCAGTAGAAGCTAAAAAAGGATAATAAAACAGAACTCATTTATGCTTCTAGCTTACCATGTGGACACAGAATGTCTTCATTAAAATTTAATTCCTCCTCCTCTTCTTTTCTTTCTTCCTTTGATTCATCTATTCAAAAGAAATACAAATGATATCTGCTGCGGTTATTGTACTTAAACTTCAAAGCAGCAGAGATACTACGCTGCACAATTTGGAACAAAGAAAACTTTAAAAATCTGAAAATTAGACCCAAGTGATTCCTACACAGTTCTGCTAAAAAGTGTTATATTTCTTTCCCTTAAAAGGAAACAGGAACATCTCAATGACAGTTAACTTTTAAAGATTTAGGTTATGCAAGAAAATGTGCCTTTTTAAATTAAAAAAAAAATGGAATGTTTCTATTAATTCTAGTTAAGGTATTGAGAATACTGTGTCATAAGCCAAGTTAATCATCTACATGTCATAGCATTTTCACCTACCCACACTTGTAGGGAGTGAACACAAAGCTTTAAAGGCAAATGAAATAAGGACTTAACCTTTAACATCAAACATAGTCGTCCCCGCTGATCAGTGGAGGACATATGTTCCAAGACCCCAATGGATGCCTGAAACCTCACATACTACCAAACTCAATAAAAATCCATTGGCACATTTCTGTTCATGTCTTCCACCCACAAATTTAATGCCTTTTCCATCTTAACAGTTATCACACTGTGGCCATAACTTGCAGCTTGAAGTTTGACAACAAAATTATCATGAATTTTCTTCCTTCTTAACAATTTCACAGACAGATTTGTTCCTGCAGATCTTAGCAACCTCAGCATACAATTTTTTTTTCTTTCTTTCTTTAAGTTAAGAACTTACTTCCACCTTTCCACTTAAAGGAAGCACTTTGTGGCTTCTTTCTGACATACCTGAATTGCCAACATTACCACTCTTCCACTTTGAGATCATTATTAGGTAAAATAAGGGTGACTTGAACACAGGCACTTCTACAGTCAATCTGATCACCAAGAGGACTGCCAGGTGACCAGTGGGTAGCATGTATAGCATGGAAAAGCTGGACACGGAAAATTCACGTCGCAGGCAGGATGAAGCAGAACAGCATGAGATACGATATCATCATACTACTCAGAACAGTGTGCAATTTAAAACCTATGAATTGTTTTCTGGAAGTTTCCATGTAATATTTTCAGACTGCAGTTCACTGCAGGTTAACTGAAACCATGAAAAGTAAGATCTTGCATGAGGAAGGACCATTACATTTTGCTTTTCTTGTTAACATTTCTCTTCCAATATCTGCTTTTCCTACTTTTCTACACTGTGTCACTATCAATATGTAGTTGTATCTACTGGGAACAGAATCAAATGAAGAAACCATTATCCATGGGTTTTCCAGGTTAATATTTCACACCTTTTTTACTACAATTAATGCATACAAAGAGTATTTGCTAGTCATTTAAAAACTGAAGCAGAGGCCAAGGACAGTGGCTCATGCTTATAATCCCAGCACTTTGAGAAGACAAGGCAGGCATATCGCCTGAGCCCAGGAGTTTGAGGACAGCCTGAGCAACATGGCGAAATCCAATCTCTACAAAAAGTACAAAAATTATCTGGGGGGGGGAAAAAAGAGAAAAAAAAAAATAGAAAAAAAATTATCTGGGCATGGTGGCACATGCCTGGGGTCTCAGCTACTCAGGAAGCTGAGGTGAGAGGACTGCTTGAGCCTATGAGGTGGAGGCTGCATGGAGTTGCGACTGTGCCACTGCACTCCAGGTGGGGTGACAGAGAGATCCTGTCTCAAAACAAAAACAGAAACCAAAACAAACAAATTACCACCACCAACAGTAAAAATGCCCATGAAAGTAAAATTTAAACATGGGCACAGGAAGAACATGACTGGATAATTCTGTCTCTTCTTTTTCTGTCACACATACAAATCACTTCTCAAACCTAAGAAGATGGTCAACCTCAGTAATATTTTGAAAAACGTTAAGCCACTGCACTTCAACCTGGGCAAAAAGAGCAAAACTTCATCTCAAAAAAAAACCAAAAAACAAAAAAACCTGATGTGACTAATGTATTCTCTATATTGACAAAAGCATGCAAAAATGAACCCCCTAATACGTATGTATTGAAAAAAATTTATAGGTCAGTATGTGGCAATTATAAATATTTATAATTTATAATATTTATAATTCTCTGATCCAGCAATTTCCAGGAATTTATTTCTCAGAAATAATCTGAAAATTCTGTAATGATGTTAAGTACAGTACACAAAAGGACCCGCATAACATCAATGTGTATATACTAATCATAAAAAAATTAAAATAGAACCAGACGAACATAATGGATCCACAAAATAAAATGCAGTCAATAAAAAAATTTAAGGCCGGGCGCGGTGGCTCAAGCCTGTAATCCCAGCACTTTGGGACGCCGAGGCGGGTGGATCACGACGAGGTCGAGAGATCGAGACCATCCTGGTCAACATGGTGAAACCCCGTCTGTACTAAAAATACAAAAAAAATTAGCTGGGCATGGTGGCGCATGCCTGTAATCCCAGCTACTTAGGAGGCTGAGGCAGGAGAATTGCCTGAACCCAGGAGGCGGAGGTTGCGGTTAGCCGAGATCGCGCCATTGCACTCCAGCCTGGGTAACAAGAGCGAAACTCCGTCTTTAAAAAAAAAAAAAAAAAAAAAAAAATTTAAAAGAAAAGGCTGTATGTTTTGACAGGGAGAGATGTAGAACTGTGCCCATATGAGCTCCATTATAAACAGCCACTATTTACAGTGATTGTATCTGATGGGAAAGCTTTGAAGTCCTGCTCTGTCATATTTGTGCTGTCTGAAGCTTTTGAAATTTTTAACGGGAAAAGAAGAGAGGCATATTACTATGAAAGAAACATGAAAAATAGTTTTAAGCTAGGCCAACATGAAGGCAGTTTCTATTATGGCATCCACTTTTACTAAAGATGAAGGCACACTGATAGATAAAGAGGCTTTAAAAAGTAGTAAATAAATAATTACCACTAAAACCACTAAAATTATAGTATGGTTTTTCAAATGACAGGACAATAAAACTCAAATTGATGTTAAGTTCATGAATTATATAGCACAATAAAATGTTTCAATTTAAAAAAAAAAAAAAAAAAAAAAACAACTCAGCTGGGCATGGTGACTCACACCTGAAATCCCAACACTTTGGGAGGCCAAGGCAAGTGGATCATGAGGTTGGGAGTTCAAGACCAGCCTGGTAAACATAGTGAAACTCAGTCTCTACTAAAACACAAAAATTAGTTAGGCATGGTGGTGCATGCCTGCAATTCCAGCTACTTGGAAGGCTGAGGCATGAAAATCACTTGAACCAGGGTGGTGGGGGCATTGGGGCAGAGGCTGCAGTGAGCCAAGATCAGGCCACTGCACTCCAGCCTGGGCAACAGAGTGAAACTCCATCTCAAGAAACAAACACAAAAAAAAGTAAAAACTTTTCAAGTTTGAAAATGTTAACAATCACAGCTCAAGGAGTTTAAAACTAATACTGGGTTGGTTTCCTCAAAAAGTAAGCTAGTGATATGTAAAGATCAATACCAAATAAAATATAAAATGATAGCAATGGGCCAGGTGCAGCGGCTCACACCTATAATCCCAGTACTTTGGGAGGCCAAGGTGGGAGGATCGCTTCAGCATAGGAGTTGTAGACCAGCCTTAGCAACATAGTTTGGCCTCATCTCTAGAATTTAAAATAAATAAAAACTGGCAGGCCGGGCGCGGTGGCTCAAGCCTGTAATCCCAGCACTTTGGGAGACTGAGGCGGGTGGATCATGAAGTCAAGAGACTGAGACCATCCTGGTCAACATGGTGAAACCCCTATGAGGAGGCTGAGGCAGGAGAATTGCCTGAACCCAGGAGGCGGAGGCTGCGGTTAGCTGAGATCGCGCCATTGCACTCCAGCCTGGGTAACAAGAGTGAAACTCCGTCTCAAAAAAAAAAAAAAAAGCTCATTTACCTGACAAAGGCAGTGTGGCGGATAATCCAAAACCCAAATGTACTGAGCATACAATATACTATGCCAATGTGCAGTAGACTTAACCTTTCTTTAAACTCAGCCTACAGCAGAATTAATATTCATTTTGCATGTGATTAACTAGACAGAGCTTGAGCCCAAAGCATGACAGGTTATAAAGGAAAATTTTACATGTGAGTTGCTGAGTCCTTGCTGAATTTCAATGGCTTAAAAATCTTTTATTTGTTCTAAGCTATTTTTGAAAGCTGGTAGTTTAATAAAAATTGTATTTAAAATTACATGGATGGGTATTAAACCTATTTTATTATTATTATTTTTTTTTTTTTGGGGGGAGGAGACAGAATCTCACTGTGCACAATCTCGGCTCATGAAAACCTGCAACTGCAACTCCTGGGTTCAAGCAATTCTCTTGCCTCAGTCTCCCGAGTAGCTCGGACCACAGGTGTGCAGGTAGATCACCTGAGGTGACCACCCCTGGCTAATTATTTTTGTATTTGTAGTAGAGATGAGGTTTCACCATGTTGCTCAGGCTGGTCCTGAACTCCTGACCTCAAGTGATCGACCTGCCTCGGTCTCCTGAAGTGCTAGGATTACAGGCACGAGCCACTGCACCCAGCCTAAAATTGTTTTTTTGAGAAACAGGGTCTCTCCAATACAAGATGCAGGGAAAAAGAGAAAAAAAAAAAAAAAAAGAGAGAGAGAAACAGTCTCACTCTGTTACCCAGACTGGAGTGCAGTGGGGCTAGCATTAACTCACTGTAGCCTTAAACTACTGGGCTCAAGTGATCTGCCCACCTGAGCCTCCCACATAGCTGAGACTACAGGCATGAGCGACTTACACTTCCATCATAATTTCACAATGATCTACACATAGGTTTAAAGTGTTACCTTTATTTAAGGTGCTGCCGTTCATCTTTCCGTTGCTTTGTTCTGCATCACCGTCTTGCTCATCTAGCTGTTCAAGAGCTAGCTGGCGCCAACTCCGCAAAGAAGACTTCCCCACCCAAAATCCATCATTGCTGCGGAAGAGAGAATGTTAAACCATACAAGTAACATTCCCTTTTTTTTTTCTTTTTCTTTATATTTATGGACACACTGGATACTGAGTAAATGAAGAAACCTACAGCTGTATTTTGGAAGGGAGATGTGATGTTATGTGCTTTACTCAGCCTATCTCTCCAGGGAAAAAGAAACTTACGGAAGTGCTTCTGACCATTCTGGGCAGTATATTTGAGCCTACAAGTAACATTTCCAAACGGGGTCCTCCCTTATTTCCCCATAAAAACAACTGGCAGGGTACAGTGGCTCATGCCTGTAATCCCAGCATTTTGGGAGGCTGAAGTGGGCAGATCACCTGAGGCTGGGAGTTCAAGACCAGCATGACCAACATGGAGAAACCCCACCTCTACTTCTAAAAATACAAAAATTAGCCAGGCATGGTGGTGCATGCCTGTAACCCCAGCTACTCAGGAGGCTGGGGCAGCAGAATTGCTTAAACCAGGGAGGTGGAGTTGTGGTAAGCTGTGATTATGCCATTGCCCTCCAGCCTGGGCAACAAGAACAAAATTCCGTCTCAAAAGAACAACATCAACAAAAGTAAATTACAAACACTCAAAATTGGCTACGGTGTATGTAATTGCTTTTAACCTACTTCCTACTTTTCATCATTTTCACTGTTCACTATTGAACTGCAGGGATCTAATATTTTGTTTCCATTCTAAATATTATCCTGCTTTTCCTACATTCATGCCAATCAGACCAATCAAATGGCAGGATGGAATACAGTGGCAAAGGCTACCTGACCCAGCTTTCTTTATCATTGTCACAGGGCAGTCACTGCAAAATTTACTTTTGATCTGGCCCTGCCATCCACTTTATCACCCTTCTAAAAATCCCAACGGCCTATGTTTAACAAATAGTGAGCTGCTTGGTTATGACCTCTTAAAAATGTCTTAGTTTATCATAATGTTCACTGTGCAACATACCCTTTTACTGCTACTTTTAGCAGATTATTAACAGTTTTATAATCTTCATTTAGTTGGTTCTTCAGACGTAATATGCGACAACGTTCTACTACACATTCCTTACACAGGGCTTTCACTACAGGCAAGAAAGAATAAAAGGAAATATATTTCATTCAAACAGATTTCCTGTTAGGAAAATGTTTTCAGCACTTCACAAACAGAGACATATTCTAAACCAAAGTCACAAATTTGGGCAATATAGCAAATAATTGATGTATACCCTAAATTATTTTACTAAGACAATTAGATACCAAGATAGCAATATTGTTATTTGAATAAAGAAAAGAAGAATAACAGACAAAAAGTTGTATTATACTAAAAGTACCTAAGTATCTGACAAGGTTTACATGCAATTTTTATGAGATGATAATCAAATAACTAAGGTTCTAGGTGGGGGGAGTAAATATAGTAGATAATTATAAATCATGATCTTCAGGTGAAAGTTATCTTCAAAGCACACTAATGGGGAAAAGAAAAATGAAGGGCCTGGTTTAAAACAGAATTTTTAGGAATCATCTAAAATGTGAAAGCTCTTCCCACTGCATGGTTTATCAGTTGTGAATTAAGAAGAGAGGCAGGTATAGTGGCTGCCAGCCTGGCCAACACAGTGAAACCCCATATCAACTAAAAATAAAAAACTAGCCAGGCGTGGTGGTGCATGCCTGCACTCTCAGCTAGTCGGGAGATTAATCAAGAATCACATTGCTACCTCACAAATCATCACAACCCAGGAGGCAGAGGCTGCAGTAAGCTGAGATCACACCACTGCAACTCTAGCCTGGGTGACAGAGCAAGACTCGGTCTCAAATTTAAAAAAAAAAAAAACGAAAAGAAGAAGTCACTATAACATGGAGGTACAAACGTACAATTAACCAGACAATGGCTCGAGTACTTTAAACAGTATTATCCAGATTAACTAACTACCACCAGACAATTTTCTCAAAAGGGCCCTATTTTGTCTTTCAGAGGGTTTAACAAAATAAAAAACAAACCAAAAAAACCCCAACTACATTCACTCCCCACTACCTTAGAACCTCAACCCTCTAAGAATAGCATCAGTGGCTAAACCACTTTATTTAGCAAATCCTTTTTGCAAAGTGTAAGGAACATCTGATCTAAATAGCTGGGGTCAAATCATCATACCACACTCAAAAAACCGTAAGATGAAGATTTAATGAGGTGCTGTTTTTTAAACAAAGAGGACATCTTGAATTACCAGTTAGTCTTGGACCTCCTCCATATCTACTATAGAAAATGTCAGCTGCATATTCAGATATCCTCTTCATAATCGATATTTTATCTGGGTGAAGTTTGTCATGGGAACACAGGCAAGCGTGATTATCAATGGGTTTGGTAGGTGTTGATTCATCCAACCACTTTTGCAGCCACTCCAGAGAGACAAACTCATAGGGCTCTGAGAAAGCAAGCATCGGAAAGAGCCTATGTATTTTTACAGTTTTTTGACTAAGTGATACATTCATTTTTCTCAAAAGACAATGCAAACTCTGTCCAGAGTTAGCAGAATCAGAAGAATTGTTGTGTGGGGGAAGATGTTTGATTAGTATGACACAAAGCTCCAGTTAGGTGCCACTCCTCTGAGTTCAATGCTGAGTCTGCACAGTGCCCTATGAGATCGGCTGGTATTATTAACCGCATTCTACAAGACGCATCCACAGAGAGTCTTGCTTGACAGCACAGCAGAGCTTTGATCAGGACACGCATGTTGGTTGACTACACGTCATGCTCCATTACTACCTCACAAATCACACAACCTCATGCCCTACTATGTTTATTTCATGAATTATTTTTTGTGAGTACTTCTCACACATACATGATAAACATGTGAAAATTAAAATAAGCCAAACTGAGCTCGAAGTTAGAAATTAACCTTACCGGCTATGACCACACTTCAGAAGCCCCTTTTAACCACTGAACTTTCTTCATCCAAGATAATACTGATAGCAATTTTGAAAAGGTATTTAATCCCCCCCACATCCATGTCATGATCTATTCATTATATTATTATTTATTTCAAGAAAGTAACCTATTTTAAACAAGCTCCAAGATAAAGTACACTAGAACTGAGTTATCATCAATTTTGGATTTGCAAAAACTAAAAGACAAAACCAAACACCTCAAAATGAATTTTAATTTGGGCAAATGAAGTCCCAGAGTTCCCTAAAAGCCAAAATCAAAGATAAAGGGCCAGCTTTGATTACTTACAAAGATTTCCAGTGAGTCCCAGCATAAAACATAGAAGAAAACATACAGAGGTTGAATTTATATTTTTGTATTATATACTCCTTCTGATGAGATCTGAGGGATAGATACTGCAATGCAAAGCCCATTGTGACCAGGTTTTATACTCCCCAGAGAGGTACATGTCTAGAAAACTAACTCCCATTTTAATTTTACAGTAAATCATTTCAATTTGTACAAAAACAAAATTTGGCACTGTACATCAACTAAGAACCTTCTGACTGGTCAACTTGAATGTGGCTGCAGAGGTAGAGCACAGGACTATGAGTCGAGGCCACGGTCTAATCGAAGTTCTGCCACAAAGAAAATGAACCTAAGCAAGTCACTCAAACTCTCTTTGCTTCAAGGCTTTTATTTGTAAAATGAAGGTAATAATACCTGCCTTCTACCTACCTCACAGGGATGTTGTTGAGTATAAAAGATAAGCTATGTGAAGCATTTTGAGCTTTTTGGAAGAAAAGAGATATGGAAAAGTTAATTATACATTCACATAATCTTAATACATAAGAGAGGAGACCTTGGCCAGGAACTGTGGCTCATGCCTGTAATCCCAGCACTTTGGGAGGCGGAGGTGGGTAATCACCTGAAGTCAGGAGTTCAGACCAGCCTGACCAACATGGAGAAACCCCGTATCCACTAAAAATACAAATTTAGCTGGGCGTGGTGGCACATGCCTGTAATCCCAGCAGAGGCTTTGGTGAGCTGAGATAGCACCATTGTATTCAAGCTTAGGCAACAAGAGTGAAACTCTGTCCCCCCCAAAAAAAAAGAGAGAGAGAGAGAGAGAGAGAGAGAGAGAGAGAGAGAGAGAGAGAGAGACCTTAAGATGCACTGGATGTGGCCGGGCGCGGTGGCTCAAGCTTGTAATCCCAGCACTTTGGGAGGCCGAGGCGGGTGGATCACAAGGTCGAGAGATCGAGACCATCCTGGTCAATTTGGTGAAACCCCGTCTCTACTAAAAATACAAAAAATTAGCTGGGCATGGTGGCGTGTGCCTGTAATCCCAGCTACTCAGGAGGCTGAGGCAGGAGAATTGCCTGAACCCAGGAGGCGGAGGTTGCAGTGAGCCGAGATCGCGCCATTGCACTCCAGCCTGGGTAACAAGAGCGAAACTCCGTCTCAAAAAAAAAAAAAAAAAAAAAAAAAAAACCAAAAAAAAAAAAGATGCACTGGATGTAACACAGCTGTTGCACTTTACAGTATATCATGGTATGGCTAATTACATTCAAAATGCCTCTCCACTTTATTTGCCATTTATCAGGCTTATTCTGCCAGGGATACAGAGTACACTGGGTATCTGGGGAATGCAAAGATAAATGATCCCTTTCTGAGAGCAAAATAAAAGTCTTAGCATTCTCTAATCTCTTCTCAAGGACAGTCACATAGATTAAAATGGTGAGTAATATGAAGGCTATCAAAGGAGAAAAAAACAGGATTGTGATAAACAGCAACATTCAAGAAAAATTCACTCGGCATTCTAGTTTCCCCAACAGCTGGGGAAGAGTGGACTGAGGGCAGTATCTGTTACCGCTAACTGAAAGAATAAACCCTAGGAATCCTGGCCGTCACAATGAAAAGAATCTAGGAAAGCTAAAAATGCACAATGCCCTCCTTGCCAGGGATGTCTGCAGGAATTCAAAGCCTAGGGTGACTGTGACCCTGACTGTTCAGCAACAATGTGACTCAAAGGCAGTTACTTCAAGACAACATTTTCCAATCTCATAGAAAACTTCCAAGGGAAGCATGATGTTTTGGTTTTTGAATTGCCCAATATAAATTTAATGTAAGATACAATGATTAGAAAAACTATGTATGGTTTTATAGTTAAAGGAGTAAGAAAGAAAGCAGAGAATAGGCCTATAATTCTAACCTAATACCATGCTTATTGCTAACTCAGCAAGTGTTCCAGATTTCATTTTAGTGCTCTGCGCTGTGGGCTCCATGAAGGAAGAGTGAATATGGTCACAGAAGTCTTTCTTTCCATTTTCAGTCTCTATCATCACAAAGAGTTGCACTGATCTCTGCCAAGAGCTTGCCTGAGAATACAAGCGGAGTACAAGTCTCATAGTTAAGGCAGATTTTGCTTGTGGCTAAGTTTTTACCATACAGATGTTTCCGCACTAGAAAAAGACTCTAAGTAGGCCCCTCTAATATAACCCTCGTATTTGTGATTCAGTAAACTACAAACATTGTAGTTTATATCCTTCCAAAGGCCATAGATATAATCAACTCCAAATGAGGAGCTGATTGTACACAGGGAAATGTACATTTTGGTTCAAAGTTCTTCCTAATTTAAAGAAACAAAACAAAACAAAATGTAGATTTTGAACATGACACACTTTCTTTGAAAAGTTATAAAGTCTAGAACAATTAAAGCATCAAAAACACTTGAAACATTTTACCTAGAGATAATTTAAGTATATATTTCATGGAAATAAAAAGGGCCAAAAGCACATTTCTAGTGAGGCTTAGATTTTAGGATAAGTGATCTTTCCTTAGATATGTTCACACACAAAAATAAGATTTAGAAAATGCGTGACAAAAGATTTCTCTTGCCAGCACAAAACCATGCTCGTTAACTTTGAGATTCTACATAATTTTAGAATGCGGATTTTCTACAATATAAATTTACTGCAAATGGAAAATAATTATATAGCTCATAATTGGTAAAAGTATAAATAACACAGAGAAATATTCTAAGAATATACGCATATTCTAAGAACATAAGGTTCTTATATGCTGAATGAAAACATCCAAAGGAAGCACAGTACTAACTTGACATATATCATCTTTGAACTCTGTAGTTCTAAAGAGTGGTTCAAATGAGTATTTCACTTTAGACCCAGTTAAGTCCCTTTCTCTTGTCCAGTGGACACAGGAAACCATGAATAAAGTTCAGAAAATAGATTTCTAGGTCCTGACACCTTTGAACAAAGACCTATAAATTTATAGATTTAAATTCTGGGTTCATTTCCAAATCATTTCCAGTTAAATTAAGGTCAGGTTAATTGATAATGCCAACCCTTGGACAGAATTAAAGTAACAGATTACAAAGAAGGGTCAGAATCAAATTAAAATTCAGTTAAAATCTATTCTTATAGACTCAGTAATTTAGGTTTACATTTTAAGTTATACTAGTAATGGAAAATTAACATATTAAAAAGACAAACAACAAGTATAATTATGCTTAAGTATTTATTTTCTAAAGTAAGGACTAAATTGTCTCTCTTCCTTAAGTAGGAGTTAGGTTTGGGAATTCATGTCTTTGAAATGACAAAGATAACTTAATACAAATGGCACATCAGCCTTTAAAAAGGCTTAATTTGGTTTCATTTTGAGACACCAGGTAAACCTGAATAAGCATACACAGAAAAGGGATAAACTGGATTATGTAGGATAATTCTAAAAAATCAGGGGTCAGCAGAAAGCTTTTCTACTCTCAACATAATATGTGATACTAAATTTCAACTTAATCTAATAGTATTAAAAAAAACTGTACTCATATAACAGAATGTCTGTTAATACTGCTAGGTCACAAAGTATCCAAAGAAACAGAATAGTCAAGTTGCTTTTTCCATAGTAATCCAATCGGATTTTTCTTAAACAAGTCAGTATCTCACAAAATATAAATATCTACAATACTCATGGATGCAGAGTGCTGACCTAAATGTTATAATTTATTAACAGCTTCCCGTTTTTAAAAGTACAAGGTAATGAAATAATATGGTATGCTACACATCAAGTTACTGCTGGTTTACAGAGTACTTTTAGAGTGTTTAAGCTGGCTTTAGTGGGTTATCAGAAAGAGTAAGTTTAAGCAAGTTTCTTCATATACATTTGTGAATATAAAAAAACAAGGCACTTAATGGCAACAGTGCTGTCCCAGAATATCTTACAGACCAGCTCCAGCAGGTAACCTTTGGTACAGCTCCTTAACCTCTTCGTGTTTTGCTTTTCCTTTATCCACACTTTGCTTACGCATCTCAGCCATTTCAATACACCACTCCTCAAATTTGGAATTATCCCGATCTACCAGCTCTTGAAGAAAGGCTATTCAAACAGAAAAACAAAAAACAACTTTATCCTTGTATTCAAATACAGTGAATCATGTTAATCTCTAAATTATATCAAATACTGATTAAAACAATGGCAGAAATTCCAACTATGGTTTCCTTGTCTGATAGAAACCTCCAACCTGAAGGCAGAAATAAAACTGAAGACAGCCACTGGAATACTAAGTTGATTCTCCTCACCTAGCTCTCCATGGTATCAGCCTCCCAGAAAATTCAAATGGCTCAAAATCACCACTTTAGAATAGATGACACCACCAAGCTGAGAAAACTGCTGAGTAAAATGACTAAGACTATCTTCGGGGCAGCAGCAATGCTACCTTTTTATTAGGAAGTCTAGAAAATCCATAAATAATTGGATAAAATTCACAAATACTCTATAAGCTGAACCAAAGAAAACCAAATTATATTTTAAATACATGTCTTGATTACCTTCCCATTTTTTCATGATTTCATTGCTTTGTTTCAGATGTTCATTTCTTTCTTTTTTTTTTTTTTTTTGAGACAGAGTTTTGCTCTTGTTACCCAGGCTGGAGTGCAATGGCACGATCTCGGCTCACCGCAACCTCCGCCTCCTGGGTTCAGGAAATTCTCCTGCCTCAGCCTCCTGAGTAGCTGGGATTACAGGCACGTGCCACCATGCCCAGCTAATTTTTCGTAGTTTTAGTAGAGACGGGGTTTCACCATGTTGACCAGGATGGTCTCGATCTCTCGACCTCGTGATCCACCCGCCTCGGCGTCCCAAAGTGCTGGGATTACAGGCTTGAGCCACCGCACCCAGCTGTTCATTTCTTAAAAGTAAATATGTGACTAATATTTACTTTCACCAACATTTATCATATGGAATCAATTTATCATAATAAATAAAAGCAATCTATTTGTTATCATTAATGTTTGAGCATGGTACTCTAAAACACCTGCCTGATATAATCCAGGAAAATTGCCTTACCTGGAACTTGAACAGTAGTGTTGGGCTTTTCTTGAGTCTGCAGTCTATAAACCAACATATATGCATTTCGAGAGCAATGAGTTCCTTTGCCGCACTTGGGTTTACGTGTCTGAGACTTAGAAGGTTCTGCTGAGATAGAGAAATCAAAAGGTACCTTAACTTAAATACATAGAGTTTGCTTATTCTTTAGTGGGGCTATAGAAAACAATTTCCAAAATATACACCCAAGTCACATTAACACGAATCTAAAACAGTCAAAGGCCATACAAATTTGACAGATTCGTTAGCTTTTAACATTTAAAAAAGTTTACTGCCCCTATTGCCTGCCACATTCCATTTTCAAAAGATGAAAAGAAAATATATTTTTCTAGGGAACAAACCTGGAACAACAAAAAAATCACTCTTGCTATAAGTTGATTTTAATGTTAGGCTTAATTACAAAAATTAACTGAAGCAGGGCACAGTGGCTCGTGCTTGTAATCACAGCACTCTAGGAGGCCAAGATGGGCGGATCACTTGAGGCCAGGGGTTCAAGACCAGCCTGGCCAACATGGAGAAACCCTGTCTCTACTAATAATACAAAAATTAACTGGGTGTGGTGGTGCACACCTATACTCTACATACTTGGGAGGCTGATGCAAGACACTTGATTGAACCGGGGAGGCGGAGGTTGCAGTGAGCCGAGATTGTGCCACTACACTCCAGCCTGGGTGACAGAGAGAGCCTCTGTCTCAGAAAAGAAAAAAGTTAAGGGCCGGGCGCGGTGGCTCAAGCCTGTAATCCCAGCACTTTGGGAGGCCGAGGCGGGTGGATCACGAGGTCACGAGATCGAGACCACCCTGGTCAACATGGTGAAACCCCGTCTCTACTAAAAATACAAAAATTAGCTGGGCATGGTGGCGCATGTCTGTAATCCCAGCTACTCAGGAGGCTGACGCAGGAGAATTGCCTGAACCCAGGAGGCAGAGGTTGCGGTGAGCCGAGATCGCGCCATTGCACTCCAGCCTGTGTAACAAGAGCGAAACTCCATCTCAAAAAAAAAAGAAAAGCCGGGCGCGGTGGCTCAAGCCTGTAATCCCAGCACTTTGGGAGGCCGAGGCGGGTGGATCACGAGGTCGAGAGATCGAGACCATCCTGGTCAACATGGTGAAACCCCGTCTCTACTAAAAATACAAAAAATTAGCTGGGCATGGTGGCGCGTGCCTGTAATCCCAGCTACTCAGGAGGCTGAGGCAGGAGAATTGCCTGAACCCAGGAGGCAGAGGTTGCAGTGAGCCGAGATCGAGCCATTGCACTCCAGCCTGGGTAACAAGAGCGAAACTCTGTCTCAAAAAAAAAAAAGAAAAAAGTTAAAGTAAGTTTTAAGCCGGGCTTGGTGGCTCACGCCTGTAATCCCAGCACTTTGGGAGGCCGAGGCGGGCAGATCACAAGGTCAGGAGTTCCAGACCAGCCTGGCCAATACGGTGAAACCCCGTCTCTAAAGAATAAATAAATAAATAAATAAATAAATAAATAAATAAATAAATAAAATAAGTTTTAAAATAAAAATAGGCCAGACATGGTGGCTCACATCTGGACAGCATGGTGAAACCCCGTCTCTACTAAGAATTCAAAAAGTAGCTGGGAATGGTGGCACATTCCTGTAATCCCAGTTACTCAGGAAGCTGAGGCAGGAAACGCTTGAACCCTGGAGGCAGAGGTTGCAGTGTGCCACTGCACTCCTGCCTAGGGAAAAGAGTGAAATTCTGTCTCAAAAGAAATAAATACATAAAAATCGAGACTGATGCAATCACTGAAGGGAACATGGGACTTCAACTCTCCTGGAAATATTTTATTATTATTATTATTATTTTTTTTTTTTTTGAGACAGAGTCTCCCTCTGTCTCAGGATGAAGTGCAATGGCACGATCTTGGCTCACTGCAACCTCTGCCTCCTGGGTTCAACTGATTCTCCTGCCTCAGCCTCATGAGTAGCTGGGATTACAGATCCCTGGTTCATCTTTGTAGTTTTAGTAGATATGAGCTTCTACCATGTTGTCAAGGCTGGTCTCGAACTCCTGACCTCAGGTGATGTACCTGCGTCAGCCCCACAAAATGCTGGCATTACAGGCATGAGCCACCACGACCAGCCCATTTCATTCCACTTTTTAAAATCATGTTATTTAAGGCCGGGTGTAGTGACTCACACTTATAATCCCAGCACTTTGGTAGGCCAAGGCAGGAGGATGACCTAAAGTCAGGAGTTCAAGACTGGCCTGGCCAACATGGTAAATCCTTGTCTCTACTAAAAACACAAAACTTAGCTGGATGTGGTGACACGCACTTGTAATCCTAGCTACTGGGAAGGCTAAGGCAGGAGAATCACTTGAACCCAGGAGGCAGAGGTTAGAGCGAGCAGAGATCATGCCATTATACTCCAGCCTGGCAGATAAGAGTGAAACGCCATCTCAAAACAAGAAAACAAAATATGCTATTTTATTTTTTAGGTCAATTAAATTTAGATTTATTTTTATGATTTTGACTAAATTAAAGAACTTCTGTTTACTAAAATGATTACTGAGCTAATTTTTATTTTTCTAACTGTACATATACATTTTATATATACTTTTATTAAAAAATAACATTAAAACAAATACTTGTACACCAAGCAATCATTTAACAATAAAAATATTTTCAGCTGGCCACGGTGGCTCATGCCTGGAATCCCAATTTTTTGGGAGACAGAGCCGGGTAGATCATGAGGTCAAGAGATCAAGACCATCCTGGCCAACATGATGAAACCCGATCTCTACTAAAAATACAAACATTAACTGGGTATAGTGATGTGTGCCTGTAATCCCAACTACTTAGGAGGCTGAGGCATGAGAATCATTTGAATCTAGGAAGCGGATGTTGCAGTGAACTGAGATCACACCATTGTATTCCAGCCTGGGTGACAGAGTGAGATTCAGTCTCAAAAAAAAAAAAAAAGAATTAAATGCTAACAAGCAGAAGCATTAGCCACCCGTCTCTATGAAGTAAACAGCAAGTGGAAAACATGAAGTATTTCAGATGACAACTACAGCACATGAAAATGATTTTCCAATTGGGTTTCAGTGTTCCAGGTAACTTTCCAAGAGGTTATGGAGGCAGATCATTTGAGGTCAGGAATTCAAAACCAGCCTGACCAACATGATGAAATCCCATCTCTATTAAAAATACAAAAAATTAGCCAGGCATAGTGGTGTGCATCTGTAATCCTAGCTACTCAAAAGGCTGATGCAGGAGAATCACTGGAAGCCAGGAGGCAGAGGGTGCAGTGGGCCAAGATCATGCCACTGCACTAAAGCTTGACCAACAGAGTGAGACTCCATCTGAAAAAGAAAAAAAGGGGCTGGACGCAGTGGCTCACTCTTGTAATCCCAACACTTTGGGAGGCCAAGGCGGCGGATCACCTGATGTCAGGAGTTTGAGACCAGCCTGACCAACATGGAGAAACCCCATCTCTACTAAAAATACAAAAAATTAGCCAGGCATGGTGGTGCAGGCCTGTAATCCCAGTTACTTGGGAGGCTGAGGCAGGAGAATCGCTTGAACCTGGGAGGCGGTGGTTGCAGTGAACCAAGATCAAACCATTGCACTCCAGCTTTGGCAACAAGAATGAAACTCTGTCTCAAAAAATAAAGAGAAGAAACAAAGAGGTTATGGGCATTTCTAAAGAAATCCAGTTTTCAGATCCTCAATTAACCATGTTCTTTCCTAAAATGGATCTGCCTCAACACTGAAGTCCCATGATGGTTTCTACTTCTCTTTCACAATCATTTGATTCCCATGTCACAAAAGAAAGATATAACCTCTCAGTGACAGACGAGGGTCTTAACTATCACATTAAGATATATTTATAAAAAAATACATTTACAGTAAAAAATTTTACTGTTTAATAAAATTTATAACATACCTTTATGAGTTTTATCAATTAAGTAGTAATATTCATAATTTTAAAAACACCACTCTATCCAGAAGTACTTTTTTTTCTGAGACCGTGTTTTGCTCTTGTTACCCAGGCTGGAGTACAATGGTGCGATCTCGGCTCACCGCAACCTCCGCCTCCTGGGTTCAGGAAATTCTCCTGCCTCAGCCTCCTGAGTGGCTGGGATTACAGGCACGTGCCACCAAGCCCAGCTAATGTTTTGTATTTTTAGTAGAGACGGGGTTTAACCATGTTGACCAGGATGGTCTCGATCTCTTGACCTCATGACCCACCCACCTTGGCCTCCCAAAGTGCTGGGATTACAGGCTTGAGCCACCGTGCCCGGCCCAGAAGTACTTTTTAACTATTTAGAGCTTTATAGTCACAAAAAACTTAGTATATTCCAGAAGAATAAAATTCTCCCCAGCGGGTGGATCACGAGGTCAAGAGATCGAGACCATCCTGGTCAACATGGTGAAACCCCCGTCTCTACTAAAAATACAAAACATTAGCTGGGCATGGTGGCGCATGCCTGTAATCCCAGCCACTCAGGAGGCTGAGGCAGGAGAATTGCCTGAACCCAGGAGGCGGAGGTTGCTGTGAGCCGAGATCGCGCCATTGCATGCCAGCCTGGGTAACAAGGGCGAAACTCCGTCTCAAAAAAAAAAAAAAAAAAAAAAAAAGAGTAAAATTCTGTAGGGTAAACATAATGATGAAAATACTGGTGCAGAGGAAATGGAATTGTTAAAAACGCCTACTATAAAACAAGACCTTTTCGGGTATCCTTGAAAAGGTTGGTGGTGCATATCTAATCTCTATGCTATTTAATGTCATCTGGACATTCTTCTAAGAGTGATGTTACAAATTAAGTTTCAATATTTATAATCTGTCATAAATTACAGCATTTGGAGATAACTTAAAATTTATGATGAAATTTGTTAGACTTTAAAATGTGCAAAGAAAAAATAGTTGTTCAAAGGCGTAGGGACACATGCCTTTAATCTTAGCTACTTGGGAGACTGAGGCATGAGAATAGCTTAAACTCAGGACGCTGAGGTTGCAGTGAGCCGAGATCTTGCCATTGCACTTCAGCCTGGGCAAGAAGGCAACAGGAGCAAAACTCCACCTCAAAAAGAAAGAAAAACCATTAGCTGAGCATTGTGGCACATGCCTATCATCCCAGCTACTCAGAAGGCTGAATCATGAGAACTGCTTGAACCCAGGAGGCAGAGCTTACAGTGAGTCGAGATCGTGTTACCCCAGCCTGGGTGACAGAGTTAAGACTTTGTTTCAAAAAACAAACAAACAAAATTCTGCCAAGTTTGGTGGCAAACATCTGTAGGCCCAGCTACTATTAGGCTGAGGTGGGATGATCATGTGAGCCTAGGAGGTTGAGGCTACGATGAGCCATGATTGCACCACTGCATTCCAGTCTGGGCAACAGAGTAAGACCCTGACTCGAAAAAGAATACAAAACAAAAAAACAAGCATTGCTAATACAAGATGATTTTACATGTGTTTAAGAAATGCAAATATCTTAGCTTGGAAAGTTAAAAAAAAAAAAAAGAAAGAAAGAAATGCAAATATCCTTGCTGGTCCACAACATAACAATCTTGAGCCAGAATAATGCATCACAAATATTTCTAGTAAAATAAATTTATATTTTAAAAGGGCACTCACAACTTAAAGGTTTTACCTAGATCTTCCTCAATCCCTAGTTGCAATTTCTTCCCCTCCATCTTTTCTATGTCTTCATCATTAAACTTATACCATTCACCAGACTGTGGATCTTTCACGTGGGCGATGTAGTGGCCAGAATAAGCACTCACTCCTCTGTGTATGAGGACTGCACTGAGTTCATACACATAGGACCCACCTGGAGAGAAAGGGAGAAAGTAAAAGAAACACTGGATAACAGTATTCCTTATATCCTGAGCCTCAATTGTAAAGATTACGAATCTTTATACATCTGGTATAACTAAAAACACATCACCTACAATTTTTAAAAATTAGTTTTACAAAATAATGTATAAGTACACTCCCTTAACACTCTCTTAAACACATCTCTTAAACAGCACACTGTATTAACTCTCCAAGCCCTCTGCAAAATACACAGATGAAAAACCACAGCCTCCTGGGCACTCGGGGAGTATAAGCTACTGTGCTCTTCAGCACAGACTAGAGAGGCCACACTTTTACCAAGAAAGGTGTTCATACTCTGATTCGTTACAACAATTAAAACTTAATTGACAGTGAATGAACATTTACATTTTAAAATGAACTAAAATGTCTTGAAGTTTGAAAAACATCTTTCAAAGATCTTAAACTTAAAGCAATTATGAAGAAATGTGTTAGAAAAGATCACTTCCACTATATATGTTCTGTTATTTACTAGAAAACAAAAAGAATCATTGATAAACCCACATAATCACAACTAATACTAAAACCTACAGTTTTTTCTAACAAATATTATCTTTTAATATCATTATTATTCTAAAAATTATTTATACTGACTATATATAATTACCATAATGTACCTAACCACACCCATATTAATGAACATTTAAACTGGTAGCATTTCAGGGTCTTTATAAGCAATAATAATTAACTTTGCAGTACAGATCTTTGCACAGATCTTTGACTGTCCCTCCCTCCCTACCCCCACCCCCCACCCCCTGCCCCCTGAGTCAGGGTCTTGCTCTGTCACCAGACTGTATTACAGTAGCACATTCACCTGACTGGAGTACAGAGCACAATCACAGCTCACTGCAGCTTCAACCTCCTAGGCTTAAGTGATCCTCCCACCTCAGCCTCTTGGAGTAGCTGGGACGAGAGGCGTACATTTTAATTTTTTCAAATTAATTAATTTTGAGACGGAGTTTTGCTCTTGTTCCCCAGGTTGGGCTCCCCCTCCCGAATTCAAGCAATTCTCCTGCCTCAACCTCCCAAGTAGCTAGGGTTACAGGCACCCAACAACACGCCCAGCTAATTTTTAGTAGAGACAGGGTTTCACCATTTTGGCCAGGCTGGTCTTGAACTCCTGACCTCCCGCCCAAAGTACTGGGATTATAGGCTTGAGCTACTGCACCTGGCCTTTTTTTTTTTTTTTTTTTTTTTTTTTTTTTTTTTTTGAGAGAGTTTCACTCGTTACCCAGGCTGGAGTGCAATGGCGCGATCTTGGCTTACCGCAACCTCCGCCTCCTGGGTTCAAGCAATTCTCCTGCCTCAGCCTCCTGAGTAGCTGGGATTACAGGCACGCGCCACCATGCCCAGCTAATTTTTTGTATTTTTAGTAGAGAAGGAGTTTCACCATGTTGACCAGGATGGTCTCGATCTCTTGACCTTGTGATCCACCCGCCTCGGCCTCCCAAAGTGCTGGGATTACAGGCTTGAGCCACCGCGCCCAGCAACCTTTTTTTTTTTTTTTTTTTTTTTAAAGATGGAGTTTTGCTCTTGTTGCTGAGGCTGGAGTACAGTGGCGAGATCTCGGCTCATTGCAACCTCTGCCACCTGGGTTCAAGCAATTCTCCTGCCTCAGCCTCCCAAGTAGGTGGGATTACAGGCACCTGACACCACGCCCAGCTAATTTTTTGTATTTTTAGTAGAGATGCCGTATCGCCATGTTGGCCAAGCTGGTCAACTCCAGGCTTCAAGCGATCCACCTGCCTTGGCCTCCCAAAGTGTTGGGATTACAGGCGTGAGCCACCGCGCCCAACATCCCCCACCTTTTTTTTTTTTTTAATACACTGGGTCTCACTGTGTTGCCCAAGCTAGAATTTGACTATTTCATTGGTATAATTTCCTTAAAAATGCAAAGAGTAAGTCACAGCAGAGTATAGTCAATCACTCATTAGATAAACAATAAACATGCTGGACACAGTTTCAGGCGTGAATGATACAGCAGTTGACTAAATGAACAAAGTCCCTGCATTGTTGCAGCATAGTGGGGGAAAGAGTAATGCAGATTAATACCTAAAATTAAGTGATCAAAACCCACTGAATTCACCCAAGCAGAAAATACTGAAGATACTGGGTAAGATAAAAATATTTTTAAATATTTCTAAAAGCACTAATTATCTGGCAAGAAAGAATTCTCAGAAGCCCAACGCCATGTGACAGCAATAAGCCATGTAGTAAGGACAACAGAGTTTCCCTCTGGGAGCATTAGGGGAACACTATGATCAACTTCAACTCTGTTTTACTATATCTCAAGGGACTTACGGGATCAGAGACAACAGCTAAGGTTCATAAAAGTTGAGGTGTCTAACAGGGGACTCCCACCAGGAAACTAAGGATCTTTTAAAATCGACAAATAATATTTGTACATATTTATGGGTACAATGTAATGTTTGATATGCTTACATCATGGAATGATTAAATCAAGCTAATTAATATAACCTTTTTTTTTTTTTTTTTTTTTTTTTTGAGGTGGTGTCTCGCTCCGTGGCCCTGGCTGGAGTGCAGTGACATGATCTCGGCTCACTGCAACCTCTGGCTCCAGGATTCAAGCAATTCCCTGTCTCAGCCTTTCAAGTAGCTGAGATTACAGGTACCCACCACCATACCTGACTAATTTTTGCATTTTTAGCAGAGATGGGGTTTCACCATCTTGGCCAGACTGGTCTTGAACTACTGACCTCGTGATCCACCCGCCTCGGCCTCCCAAAGTGCTGAGATTACAGTCATGAGCCACTTCGCCTGGCCAACATAACTATTTTTTGTGGTGAGAACATTTAAAACCTATTTTTTTTTTAGCTATTTCAAAATGGACAATGCATTATGAACTGTAGTCACCATGTTGTCCATAACTCTCCAAAACACATTCATCCTGTTTAACTGAAGTTTTGCACTCTTTAAACATCATCTCCCCATTCCTCAATGTCTCTGCCACCCACCACCCCATTCCCTAGATTCTAGTAACCACCATTTTCTTCTCTATTTTATTTTTTAATTGTCTTTCTTCTCTATCTGTACGTATTTGACTTTTTTAGATTCTATATATAGTATAGATGAGATCACACAGTACTTGTCTTTTTTAGCCTGGCTTGTTTCACTTAGCACAATGTCCTCCAGACTCATCCATGTGATCACATATGACAGAATATCCTTCCCGCTTCCCATTTAAGGCTGAATAGTATTCCATTGTGTATATATACCACATTTTCTTTGAAACTAGAATTCTTTGGTTTAGAAGAATATCAATGGTAAGAGAAAATTATCTGCCTTATACTTACACTTTGGGACCTATGGATAAAAATGAAAAACGAAAAGCAAGTCTCCATTATAACTTCATAAGAAGTTAGCCCTCAAAAAGATTTATTTACCATGAATTCACACTACCTATGAAGTCAGAAAAACCTCAAGCCAAGAGTTTTGTTTGATGTGGTCCTGGGATGAGTGACAGTCCTAAGGAATGAATTCCATCAGAACACACAAACACACGCGTCATGTAACACAAGTCACTCTAACTGCAAGGCAGCAAACAGCAACAAAAGCAAACTGATGGAGATTTTCACCTCAGTCAGTGGAAACAGCAAATACATAAATAAAATTTTAAGTATATTTAAAGAAGTAAATGATGGGACTAGATGAAAATCAAATAATGATGAACAGAATCAAACTTCTAGAAATGGAAATTACAGTCACCGACAGTCAAAACTCTATAAAAAGGTTAAACCTCAGATCGGGTTCATCTGAACAGAGAATACATAAAGTACAAGGTGGAGATAAAGAAATCATGCAGAACGCAGGACAAAGCAATGTAGAGGCCGGGCGCGGTGGCTCAAGCCTGTAATCCCAGCACTTTGGGAGGCCGAGGCGGGTGGATCACGAGGTCGAGAGATCGAGACCATCCTGGTTAACATGGTGAAACCCCGTCTCTACTAAAAATACAAAAAATTAGCTGGGCATGGTGGCGTGCGCCTGTAATCCCAGCCACTCAGGAGGCTGAGGCAGGAGAATTGCCTGAACAAGGAGGCGGAGGTTGCGGTGAGCCGAGATCGCGCCATTGCACTCCAGCCTGGGTAACAAGAGTGAAACTCCGTCTCAAAAAAATAAATAAATAAATAAATATAAAAATAAAGAATATCTGTTATAATTTCTAGGTTAATTATTAGTATTAGGTGGCCCAGGCTGTCTCTGCCCTGGGGCTTTTTTTTTTTTTTGAGACGGAGTTTCGCTCTTGTTACCCAGGCTGGAGTGCAATGGCGCGATCTCGGCTCACCGCATCCTCCGCCTCCTAGGTTCAGGAAATTCTCCTGCCTCAGCCTCCAGAGTAGCTGGGATTACAGGCACGTGCCACCATGCCCAGCTAATTTTTTGTATTTTTAGTAGAGACGGGGTTTCACCATGTTGACCAGGATGGTCTCGATCTCTTGACCTTGTGATCCACCCGCCTCGGCCTCCCAAAGTGCTGGGATTACAGGCTTGAGCCACCGCGCCCGGCTGCCCTGGGGCATTTTTATACTCCACATTTTAGGGTTTACCTGGAATCACCTTCTACTCTTCTCTCTACTGTACTGCACTCCACCCATTACTTCATATTAAAAGTGAACCAGAAAAAGCCTATCTTCCTAACTTCAGGGAACCATAAAGAAAACTACTGGCCAGGCGCAGTGGCTCATACCTGTAATCCCAGCACTTTGGGAGGCCAGGACAGGTAGATCACCTGAAATCAGGAGTTCTAGACCAGCCTAGCCAACATGGTGAAATCTTGTCTCTACTAAAATTACAAAAATCAGCCAAGCACAGTGGCACATGCCTGTAAGCTCAGCTACCTGAGAGGCTGAGGTACGAGAATTGCTTGAACCCGGGAGGCAGAGGTTGTGGTGAGCCAAGATTGCACCACTGCACTCCAGCCTGGGTGACAGGCTATGT